TCTCTCGTTTCATTTCATGTAAAATGAATTTATTATGTTTTCTATAGAGGATGAATCTTGTAACTGGGACGGGTAATAACTTCTTTTTAAGTAACAATAGAGAAAAATGATAAAGGAAAAAGTTATATGGCACATCACATGTCACCTTCCTATGACCTTACTTTTTTTGAAAATGCATCGATGCACCCGCTAGATGCAGTTGCACTTATTTTTTAAATGGAACTCTACATTTTTTTTATACCATTCAATTCCTTTTTTATATTCTGTGTAAAAAAGTATTAAGTGAAGGTCATCGAAATGTCAATAGTTTACGAAATATTTGAAGTTTTATATCAGTAATGTATTTTATTGCAATAAATGTTAGAATGTTCCTCCATTGCATTCTAAACATTTTCTAAAATGCTTTTTTACATTTTTCATTACATTTTTAATTGATTTAAATTGATATTTGAACAATACATTATTATACGCTCCTTTAGACCATGTAGGTTCATTACGTCTATTGAACATTCCATTATTCGTAAAAATGCACTCATCTGTTCATAAAATTTTTTCTGCAAAATTTTCCTTTCGTTGTACTTATCTAAGAAAAAATTGACAAAAACGCATTTTTCTATTATCATCCCCCACAAGTTAAGTGTGTCCTATCGAATAACGATATGGCTGTGTATTCACGTCCTTTTATATCAGTCAATGATTTAAGAAATTAAATACTAACTAGTTATATATAAAAAGTTTACATTAAATTAAGCATAAATTACGTGATATCTAATTTAAAAAAAAATGGACTTACACCACTTTCAAAATAAAATGTCCATTTATTAGTAACATTTAATGCACAACCATCGTGATATAACAAAAATATTACAATGTGTCCTAAAGGTTACAATGAATATATATATATTAGGGTGGGTCAAAAAAATCAATTATTTTTTTTTTACAAGTTACACGGAAAAATGGGTTGCTAGACACCTTCAAGAAATTCTCACCAAATATGAGCTCTTAATTTTATTAGGAAGATCTTTCGCATCGCAGTTTTTTATTTTTTTCTCAGTGCAATAGAATAAAATTCATACTGTCTAGCAACCCATTTTTCCGTGTCACTTGTAAAAAAAAAAATAATTGATTTTTTTGACCCACCCTAATATATATATTTATTTATTATACATATACAACCATCGGAAAGTCTTACGAACTGGAATAAATGAGACAAATGTTAATTGCCTTTCATTAAAAACAAGTCTAACGATAGATTTCGATGATAACGGTACATCGATCTTTTTGAAATTATTATTAATTATACTGATCATTAATAATACTCAATTTACTTTTTTTAGAAATTCTAATGATAAACATTATTCCAACCTTTTTGGTGAGACCGGCGCCATGCAGTCGCGATAAAAAACTTGGATATAGTTTTTTATTTTCGTAATCGTTTAGATACTCATCGGCATCCTAAGGGTAAGAGATAAAAGATAAATTAATGCTTCTATTAAAAACATTTCTTCAATAATTTTGTATGATTTTTAGATGATACCAACAATGATTCTAATCATTTTGATTTGTCTCTTTTTTTTCAAAAGAGTAAGCAGTGCTCGCTTTATAATTTTGATTTAATATTTTAATCAATATTATAAATAAATGAGCAAAAAGACAAACCAATGAATTTGTAGATCAGGATTTTCAGTTTGTAATATAATAATTTTTTAATTAATATATTTAATTTTAATTATAGCAAAAAATACGTATACCCATTAGCGTATAAGATTAGAAAACGCGATTAAAGTAGGGTGTGGAAGGTGCACGGAGACATTCTTTCTAGTTTAGGCCTTTGTACCCTGGTGATATGTATTATTTACTCCTTATTTACGAAAACATAATAGTAATTATAATTTATTATTTATATTTTTAATTAAAATTATATAAATATTATAAAAGATATTTTGCAACATAATTTAATTTGACATTTAAACTTTTTCAGAACATAATTGAAATGCATAATTATGGATATCACTCTATAAAGTATCCTCTCTATATAATATATATATATATATATATATATAAGCACTTATTACTAAAAATAGTAAATAAAACATACTTCCGTTTATTCTTCCATCTTCCTAGTACTTTTATCTTCAAATATACAGCGTTACTATTAATGAATTCTAGGACGAAATCTGGAGATTCGGCTGGTTGGCTGGATGTGACACAGCCGAATATCGAAATTCATCAGCTATGCCGACATCTTGCCTTCCAGGCGCCCAATTTTAATTTACTTCCAACAAGACGCCTAATCAACATTCAAAATTTGATTTTTAAATAAGAAATTGTTATACTCAACCTTTTTTTAGCAGCAGCGTAATAATTCAATTTCAAGGGGAAAACTATTCACGACAAATCCACATTTTTCCGATATTTATTATCACATCGGATTTTGGAACAATAAGATAAATCACAAAGGGTAAAACGTTACAAACGTATAAAGATCTCTAATGGAAATGATTTGAAATTCACAGATAATAATAAAATTTATATGTATATATATGTGTAATAAATAAAATTACCGAGACGTTTGTAATTAGAAAGAAGCTTATTTTAAAAGACGCCTCCACGAAGCTCGAGGTTTGCTAAAGAACTGAACGCGTCAAGTTGTTACTTTCGAAGAAGTAAAACTAGGAACGTAAGGAAGAGGAAAACGATGCTTACTGTATGTCGAGAGGGGATGAAGTTCCGTATTTCTTCGCTTCATTGGTCAGAATTAATCGTTTAGCTTCTGTCTTCTCCTTTAAACGGGCATCCTTTCTTTATTGTAATATTTTTTGATAATTAATGCCTTTTTTTCTAATCAAATAATAATTACTGCATACAAGCAAATATACAATATATAATTTAGTTAATTGTAAAACATTTGAAACAACGTTATATGACAAACAACGTTTTTACTAATTAATATTCAATTCAACCTACCGAAAAAAAACAATTTCTATCAAATGAAATTTCGATAGTGACGCAAAAAAAGGAAGAAAAGAGAAATGCATCGATATAGGTAGATATGGATACGTTGTCACAAGCGTGCGTGCGTGCGTGCGTGCGAGAATCCTTCGAATATCGCTACCAGTAGTCTCCAGCACTTCGTGACTTCCGCTACCAAGGAACAAGTTGCGCTCAACAGAGACTCATATAAGACCCCGACCGTCTATGACCGGATATGAAGAAGAATCGAGCTTCCAAATCGTTAGACAGAATTGCCGCCACACGTCGTGTCAAAACATTCTTATGCGAATCACGCGTTAACGTGTACCAAATTCTGATCGCAGACCAGTGACATCACACTTATTGTATGTATATATTTACTTGCGCTAATTTTCTATAAATATTCTTACATATCAGTCGAATATGATAAGAAGAAATTCTAAACGATTTATTATTAGATCTAAACAAATTTATCAAGTTACAGTACATGCAAAATATCTTATACGCATTATATTATTTTTATTGTTTGCACACTAATTGCTACTTTGATTAAATTGTAAGTAAATAAAAAGTATTTTATTGTTGAGAGGAAGAAGGATCGTATATGTTTCTAGAGAAAGTCTCCGAAAGATTTAGTAGCAATGATAGACTACTATCGTGGTCCTGATCGTGGTCGTTATCGTTGTCGTTATTGTTGCTGTTATCGTTATTGTCATTGTCGTTGTCGTTGTCGTTGTCGTTGTTGTTGGCACGGTATTCAAGAGACGAAGAGAAGAAGGAAGAAAAAAACCTACGGAGAATAATTAATCAGTAAGCGAAACACGTACGCGCACATACTTCACGCACGGACCTATAAAACTGTAGAAAATCGCACTAATACGAACAACGATGGAACGCACCTACGTGTACCTTCCATCCGGTTTCGAACATTGGGATCCCTAACTTTCCTACGAAATAAATGAATGTCAATAATGTTTAAAAAAAAATAACAAATATATTTTATATTATACTTTGATATTTTTATTTGTTCGATAACTGGTATTAACTAATAATATATTTGATTTATTTTGTTAATAGTCGCAAAGATTAGTCAAATTGTTTTTAATATACATTTCTGTAGAAATATTTTTATATATTTCAAGATAACTCTTGAGGTAAGTAAAGCGTACAAATAAGATAGCCTACAGGAAGATACAGGAAGGTACTAAAGTAGATACTAATTGAAAGACAAACGATTAAGAGTTCGAAAGAAAGCAGATATTTTCTTGCATAAAAGACGATTATCACTTGCATAACAGACGAATATTTCTGAAGCGAATAAGATTTGATCGGGTTTATCGAAAATAATAACGAAATGGAAATGAATAAATAAAGGAATAAATTTTATTGAAAATTGAAACAAAATATTAGGACGCAATAGTGGTAACAAGCGCGTGAAACGTTATTTAAAATTCTTTCTTCTAAGAAATCGTGGCCATTTGTAATATAACTAGTTGTTATCTGTTGCAAAAGTGTGAATAATTTAAATAACAATTAACTTCGATTTAGGTGTAGACGTTAACAAGTTACACCTGGTATATTCCTAGTCAACAAAGTATTTTACAGCTAGATCTTAATTGTATTGCGCTTTAATTAGTAAAATCTATGAGTTTCTATATTTCTTTTGTTTAACTCCATAGTGCCAACACATTGGCATAATTAACGCTATTATTGATAAAATCTTGTCCCATAAAAGTGGTCTAATGTCGTAAATCGTAATTAATATTTAATCTTGGCATAACTATGCAATATTATTTATAACCCAATCTATCAATTTTTAAAAATATTACGTGTCGATATTGATTTTCTAATATTTTATTATTTCTATTATATTTATATGTCATTTTTTGAATAAATCATATCAGAATAAAAGAACATAAAAAGTAGAACAACCAAGTAGATGGGTCGATCAACTAGGTACCAATTGTAATTGGCACGAATGTAGACTCTATTTAATTTTATTTAATCAAGAAAATCTTTTTAATTCGTTTAACTTTATAATATTCCGTATAATATGTATCAATATTGGCACGTCTCTTACAAAACAAGAGAGACTTCAAATATCACTTCCTATCTCCTATTTTACAATACGATTTACAACACAATTTATAACGCAGTATGTCGTGTATTAACGCATTCAAATTATTCTGATATTCAAAATAATTCAAATGTGCAATATAATATAATAAGTAAATAAATATACGAGACCATTTTACATACATTTTGTGCCGTCGTCGTTAAGCGCTACAATATTTTTTTGCAAAAATCTTACAACTATTTATGAACAAGATGTCTATTAACGTGATGGTATTGTTTATTAACTTATCGCAATATATGTTTAAAATTCTTTCTTTACTGCTGATTTGTTGTTAATAATTTAACATCCAAATATAGTTACGAATATAAAGATAATTTAATTTTATGATCAATTTTTATTTATTTTAACTTATTTCACCTTTGATATACCTTACACTCTTTGATAGATTATTAAAGATAAATTTAAAAATATTATAACAACAATTAAAACGATAAAGATTATAAACTCTATTTTCAATTAAAACATTTTAATTATTAACTAATACATAAACTATGAAATTATGCTCAAATATTATTAGGCATTTATTTGATCTAGACCGAAAAATTTAGATAAATGCATTTTCTGCACTATGATATTGCCATATCGTACCTCGCTTTTTAATCATATAAATAATTATGATTTTTGTTTTTTTTTCTTGAAAAAAAAACAATTAATTCGGTACACTAGAGGAGTTTAGATCCATTAAAATTCGTAGGAAGTGTATGTTGCAGTCCATGGTGTTATAACAGTCCATGGTGGAAACTGATTCAAAAATTCTTTAAATTTCAAAGATTTCTGGTATTTTCCATGCAATGTATGACCAGCCAGGGCAATTGATAAAGAAGGAACGTTTTCTAATGTAGGTGCCTACAATATATTAATTGATTAATTTCCATTATAATTATGATTAATAAAAAATTATAGACTTACATGTAATTCGAGAGAAAATGTATAAGGAATACAATCAGAAGCACAAGAATAATAAATAAAATAAGTTTCTCTGCCATTCCACATAGGACCTTTCAATGGCTCATTGTCTGATATACTCCACTTTCTTAACTGGACATTTTTGTACGGAGAAATAATTATACCTATGTGATCTGGACCTAAAAATGAAAAATCATTACTTTAACATTTAGTCCTATTTATTAATTATTAAATTTTTCAATTTATTAACACCATTACCTGTTACATTAAAGGTAAAAGTTGTAACATTATGTTTCATTATTTTTGATATAAGATCTAATTTAGTTGGAACATTTATAAATGGTGCAGGTCCTGGTATCCAACTAGTCTTCCTATAAAAACGTAAGTTTGTTTCATTATTATATATCCAAATAATATAATATAATAAATATATATTTTTATACCATAAAAATGTTGTAACGGGCATTAAATATGGTAAACCACAATATAGCTCATTCTCACAATCCTTGATCGTTGGTATGGCAGCATTAACTTCTGGTACCATAGATTGTACACTGTGAGGACTATTCATATCTAAATCAACCAGCCAATATCCTGTTCCAGAATATCTTAGACTACCATCAACATTGTAATATTGTCTTTGTGTGTGCTACATGTAAGAAAATACGAAATGTTTCAATATATTACAAATGTATATCTGCAATGAATTATATAAAGTTGATTTTACCGCTATCATAAAACGTTGTGGCGCAGGAGATAATGGATTACCGCTATAAGGGAAACCAAGAGGTGTTAAAATTAATATGCCTATTGCTATTAAAAATATTCCTATTAATACGCTTATAATCCGTTCTGCATTCTTTATTAGGATTACTATTGGCATCTGAAAAAATAAGAAAAGTATTTAAACAAATATACTATATAAATATAGAAACTAATAATGAAATGACATTTTCATGAAATAATAATCAACTTACCGTAAAACTAAATAACAAACAAAATAATAAAGACAATATATTAGCCATAACAATCTCAGAGTTAAGACCACCACCAGAACGTCCCATTATGGGAATAAAAAGATACAAAGCACCGAGTGTTAAATAAAATAATTGCGTGTAGGGTAAAGTAAGCATTCCTATGTGGTAACAAAGCCATTTCCAGCCTGTAAAATTTCAAAATAAATATACTTATAAGTATCTTTTGACAATGAGACTAAACAAGAATAGATAGGATTTCAAATTAGTTAATACCTCTCCATTTGTAGAAATAATTAAGACGTAATATGTTTCCAATAGCAGAGAAAAAAACCCAATGCAATGGTATAAAACCAGAGCTTATCTTAAGTAAAACACATAAGAAAAGGATTGCCATCCACATAACAGAATATGCATCGCAATATATTTGATATAGAATCCACATAGAATTTATTTCCTGTAAAATTCAAATTATTCTACATACAGTGTGTTTTTTTTCATTGCCATTTTTACAAATTTAAAAAAAAAACATAAATTAGTTGATATGAAAAATTTTAATATTAATTCATTATAGTAATAAAAATCAGCCATTTACCTTTTTCTGTCGAGTTCCAATGTACAAGAATAAAATCATTGAGGTAAAAACAGTTGGACAAACATATAAAAAGAATAGCCATGCTGGTCTTACATACCAACTCATTACTTTTCCTAATTTCGTAAGAATTTGTGCAATCGTTGTACATGTAAACAATGATAAGAGCCACGAACTAACAATAACAGCGACACAAATTAATAAATGCTTTAGATATGTGAACTTCTTTACATCTAAATAACAAAATATAAATTCCAATCTAATAATCTATAGTTAATTATATTATTAACATAATTATATCAATATTTACCTTTACGAGCACTTTGCATATTCATATATACAGAATATATTCCTATACAAATAGAAAAAATATTTATTATGCTTGCAATATATAATGGCCATCTGATTACGAATGCACCCAAAAAATCAAAAAATACAATATTTGCTACTGCATTTGACGTTATAAATGGAAAATTTTCTAGCATTATTCCTCGACAAAAAGCAAGAATATTATCTCCAGTTCTCTGCAAAGATCCTAGTGGAATTTGATCGACTGTATCAAACTTTGTATGATAAACATAGCCATTGGTTGACCAAGCAAAATCTACACCTGAACAAAATATATTTAATATAAATATAAAGTTATAATATTTAATAATATTTCACTAAGTATTATATATTTTTAATGTAAAAATAAATTTTTAATATAAACATTCAGTTACCAGAAAGATTTCCAAAATCTCGGAATATTCGGAAATCAGTATCTCCAGGAACAATGCCACTTACGAATATTTCTTGCGCCAAGGATGATGCATATGGATATGGAACTGATTTAGAATAAATCTAAAAAATATGAATCTATTGAGATCAAATGAAATATAAAAAATAAATAAATATGAATTCATATAAACCTCCAAAATCCATGGACTATTAGGACCAGCTTGAAACAATAATTCTCTACCACCTGCACCACATGCTTCCAAGTTTATAAAAGTTTTAATCTCCTTAGCCCAAGGGTGTTGTGTTATAAAACCATGTGAAGCCTGTGAAATAAAAAATTATATATTTTTTATCTATCATATTCCTGAAGTTTCAAATAAATCTAGAAAAAAATCAGATGTACCTCTAATAAATTTTCCTCTGCTCCATTAAATAAAAAAACAATATTATGCTTCAAAAATTGTGGACTGTAAGCCATTACGCGTAATATTTCTAACATCACAGCACATCCAGCAGCATCATCGGAACCACCTGTAATTATATTTTTTAAATATATATTAAAAGAAATGAATTTTCCTTAAAAAAAAAAATAAAAGACATTGATATTTACCTGGACTCTCCGGAAAGGTATCAAAATGACAATTTATCAAAATACTATATCTTGCTGGATTATATGGCCCAAGTTTAACAATAACATTTTGAACATTTCTATATACATTTGTCATGCCGTCTAAAAATTTCAATGGAAATGATCCACTATGCTTAGTAATATCAAGTGTAATTCTATGACTTTCATGCGTATTATTGATTATTTCATTAATTGTCGTTTTTAAATATTTAACAGCTAATACTTCATTCTCATAACTTCCAACAATTCGTGGACCAATAGATGTAAGATTTTTTATGTGATTACGAGCTCTTTCAGCAATAAATCTATTAGGATAAAGTTTTTCATTTTCTATCGTACAAGGTTCTGGTAAATTTTTCTCTAACACAATAATAATGAAGGATAAAAATAGAAAAAAAGTAAGGACAAAAAATAAATGTGGAGTTTCATTTGGCAGTATATCTTTTCTCTTAAAAATAATTCTATTCTCTTCTGAATTATTATCCAAGAAGCTGCGTGAAGTATTTTGACGCAGTCTGACTCCATCTTTCTGAAACTAAACATATTTTAATATATTTATTTTAATTGCATAATAAATATATATAGATAGGTTAATAAATAAGTAGACAGATTAATTTGAACAAAATAATCAACAAATAATATCAAATTACTGTTAACTAAAATATTATAAAAATGGAAAAAAAGACTTACCATGGTGTCTTATATTTGATATTTATATAATATTTATCGTATTTTATATGCGTGCAAAATTGTAAAAAAACATAGAAAAAAAATATAAGAAGAAATTGACGTAAGATATGTTGTCACGTTACTTTATTAACTGCATAATGTTGCATCGAAAGCAACGTTTGTGTCTTTTAAATTAAAAAAACCAAGTAACAAAATAAATTTCTTTGTATAGTTCTTCTTCTATTTATTTTTAATTACGAGATCAATTTGTTGCCATAATGTTCTCTATTTGTTGGTGACACGATTATTCGAAAACTGAGGAAATAATAAATAATACATTAGTATGTCGAATTTTTTTCTAAATAAGGTACAAAGGTGAATTATGATTATATCTAATCTAGCTAAAATAATACTTACTTATCTTTATTTATTATTATTTTGTTATAATTGGGCTCTTTTCATGTAATTTCTTCTTAACATTAATGAAATTTAAATCAGGTTATATGGCAGGCAAAGATTTGACAATGCCGATAAGTATATTCGATACTCATGAACCACCAATTAATAACAAATAAGAAAACTATTAATTGCTTTAGCCGAAAATTATAATAGATGTTAGAAGAAATACTTGCTGATAATTTTCGTTTATCATTTGATATTCATGGACTTGATGTAAACGGCATAAGTACTAGATACATAAAAGAAGGGATAAGAGAGAGGGAGAGAAAGTATTTTGTTTGGCGATAGTACCTATATATATATATATATATATATATATATATCGTGCATTTATGTGTATTATCTGGATATCTACATGCATAGCACACAGAGAGAAGAATGTTGTGTAATACGTGAATTCTAATTGATAATTCTAAATTATATATATATATATTTTTTTTTTCAAATATTATTTAAAATATATATATATATGTATATGTTTTTCGTCGACAAAATTGTTTTCCTTTTTTTGTCTACCTAATTTATTATAAAATATAATGTGCGATAATAAATCATATAATTATTTTCGCAAAAGTAAAAATTGTGTTATAATTAAAGTGTATCACATGTAATATAGCCTTTTAAAATCATGCAACATAAGCCTAATTATCTATAATTATTATAATGAACTTTCATATATAACTTAATAAATTACATCGTCGACATGTAAAAAACTATGAGTAATAGTGATTATGATTAATAAATCATAAGTAATGGAAGCTAAAAGAGGTTAACTGATATACGGAGGAAACGTGCCGATAATCATGCTATTAAAATAATCCTTGTGACATGTGATAATTTCAAGAAAATTCCCTTATTATTTATCAATACTTCCTTCTACCTTAATTGTGGTGAATTACAACTATAAAGATGCACATAATCATCATTTAATCATTTCCTCAATAATCATTGCTATTAAATAGGATAAATGTATTTTTATATTTTTCTAGAAAAAAAAAGATACATTCGAAATAATACCATGGATTATGTGAAATATGTTTGACAAATAAATATTATAATTATACATTGATAATAATTTAATACTATTTTCATGCAAGTGAATTAAGACAAAATGTGCATTGACAAGGTGTTACTAAAAATGTAAATGAAAATTTGTAAAGCGTACAAAGAATTGTATTTAAGATTCATAGTGAGAATCAGTAAGTAGTTTTATCATTTAATACATACGTAAGTGAATAAATGAAATAGATTGAAATTAAAAATAACACAAGACATAATGTATGTATATAAATTGTAAATATGTTTATTGCTTTCTAGATGTAATTATTATTTCATAGATATTTAATTTAGGCGTGATCAAGAAAAAATGGAAAATATACTGATAAGCTGGTTGAACAAGATATTATTGTTATTTTGTATAACAAGCATTTTGTTGTGTTTAATTATTCAACAATGGGTTGAAGTTACACCAATACCTATATATATTTCACTTTCATGGACTACATTTGTCATGATCATGTCAATATGGCTTAGCTGCATTTTACTTAGATTTACTTTAAAAAGAACTGTGCCAATTAATATAGAATTTATTAAGAAATGGATTTATAAAAGACTACCAAAATATTTAGAATTGGAATATATGGACACAGAAGAAAAAGCAAAGATGTCCAAATTTGAAAGTGCATGTAATAACGAAGTACATGTAAAAACTACAGAGATTCATTACAGAGATTTTTTAACAAAACAAAACATTGTATATGTTGAAAACATTATAAAAAAAATTAATATTGACTGTATAGATGTTTGGTATAAAAATATAAGTATCGATAAAGCATTTCCTAATGAGGCTGAGACATTATTAAAAATGTTATTAATGAAAATATTCCAAAAAGCTAAGTCAATAGATAAATTAAAGCTTGCTAATAAACTGGCCGATGTAGTATTATTACATTTAAAAGAATATCGCAGGTAATTAAAATTATATTATGAATTTGATTAATTACATCTTATAGGACAATCTTAGTTTTCATCTTTTGTTATTTAAACTTAATAAATATTTTACAGAGCATTGCGTAGAGTTGAAAAGGGTACTTGTACAAATCTAGAAGAAGCATACAGATGTTTACATCCTGGTTCCCGAAGTTTACTGACTTTGGAACATATATTTCATCGTTTGGTTAGCGTTTTAACTCAAGAATTTTTGCAGTGGGAATTGACTAGTTCCCTACCTTGTAAATTATTAGTATCTATTTTAGCTAGAAAACTTTTGACAATGGTCCAAACGATTAGTTGTCCTAATTGGATGTTTGAAAGTTTATTAAAATTACTACAAAGTACGCCAAAAGAAACAAGCAAAGAGTGGACAAAAAATGATGTAAATAACTTATTATTAATAAATATATTTATATCGATTAAGTGAAACAATTCACAAAATAATTGCTATTAATTTTAGGACATTATTTCTATAGGATTGAGCGATGGTATAACATCTGCAGTGGCTACAGTAATTCCATGTCCACTGCAGCCTGCACTTTCTAATAAATCGATGACAAGATTAGTGCAAGAAAATCAAAATTCATCATCGTCGATCGATCTTGAAAAGCGGTCTTTAAGTTTGGAAGGTTTAAAAGTACAGCATAGGGGTCTTTGGGGAGACATAAACATATCAGAGGTGGACTCAGAGATCGATAATAACAAAATATCACCGATATATGAAGAACCAACAGATTTTGCCACAACTATTGCAAGACTAAGAAATTTGTTACAACAAAAGTCTACTGCAACTACACCATTGTAAGTTATTAATGCATTGTCAATATTAAAATTTTGTTCATTTTGAATTTATTATTACAGACGTACAGAGGAAAAATCTTATGTAATATATGAAGGTAATCAATTTATAAACTTATGCATACCGTGGACAGAATTTCATACGACAATCGATGGTTCACAGCAATTATTATATTGCATTCAATTTGATGATGTCGAGCAACGTGGCGTAGATTTGTTTGAAACTACAACTGCCACAGTTAAAAGACAACACTCTGATTTTGTCCAATTACATACTTCTTTAGAAGAGGTAAGATTATGTTGAATTAAATAAATTCAATTTGAAAATTAATCTATAAATATAATATTACTTGTTTCCCAGATACCATCAATAGCTAATATTATGTCAGAAATAGAATTACCAGAAGGTGGACGCATTGAAATGGAAACTTATTTAAGAAATCTTTGTACACGTTTAGCCAATGAATGTCCAACTCAATTGCGACATTTTTTGCGACCAAATAGTAATGCAGGAAAAAAGGCAGATATAGTTGCACCACGGTTTGATAGAATTTTAGCTAAAACAGTCAGTGGGGTATTTAACACTTTAAAAACAGTTGTGCCTAAATTTGAGTTGGATTCGGAAGAAGAAGTTATGCCATTGCCAACATTAATACCCTTATCCGATATACCATGGAGATTCGTAGAAGATATTAAGTCAGTGAGTAGATATATTGTTATATTGTATGAAATATACTATGCAAGATACTGTGCAAGATACACAGACATTATAACTGTGCATTATCATTACAGAAAAATTTAGCATATGAATTACAGCAGTTGGTGGCCGATAGGATTTATTATTGTTCCGTGGATACAGCATACGAAGCAGTTGATAGTATGGAAGGCAGTGGAGATTCTGAGTTAATGGCACATTGGTGGGACATAGTTAACACTTCTTACGATGGTAAGAACATTTTATCAATTTGACTTTAACAAAATCTATGTAATATTATATACTTTACAGAAGAAACAGAAGAATTAGATTCTAAATTATCTTTAACTTGTGTTGTTATCGATTTAATTTGCGAAGTATTGACTGGTATTGGAAGTAACAATGTGTTACAACAAGAAGCTGTTGTTCGATGGGCTAAATTATTATTTGGAAATATAACTGAACCCCTTATAGAGGTATTTCTTGAGCAGATAAAATACGACTTGCCATTTATTATATATACATGGTGATAAAAAAAAGGGTCCGATAATTGAAGGGTTTATAGTACTTATATGTATATAATTATTTTCAGAAAATGATTATGAGGCTATCAGACAGTTTAAGCAATATGTCCTTTACATATAATTCACAAAGTAACGTCACAACAGAATCTGCTTTACTTACAAAGGATAAAATATTTGAAATATTAAAACAGATAATACCGTGTGATATGAAACTTATTTTTGGAGAGGAAGATACACTGAAGATTTTTAAATATTTACTTACTTCATATGAGATAAGAAAAATTAATCTGGATTTAAATATGCACATTTTAGATGTTTTGATGTCACAATTACTGATTTCCTGTAGAACAAATCATGATGCATGTTAATTGTTGCATTTTCTGTAACTTGGTAAAACCGGAGTTTAAAAAAGTATAAGAAAAAATACACATATTTAAACAATGTATAATTCATGGAAAAAAAATGAAAAACTGTGTACCTGATCATGTATTTGCAATAAGAAATGCCAAGTATTTATTTAGTACTATTTCGTGCAGAGTAGCAGATAATAAGGATTATGTATAATCTGTAAATCAGTATATATCTCTCTGTATCAGTGTTTTATAATATAAATATTTAATGAACCATCTTCGTACAGTATTTTTTAATTGAGTTTTTATTACTATCAGAAAAAAAGAGAATTATTTTTTATATTATATGGGTTGGTATAATGTAATACCATTTAAGATAATATAATTTTCTTTATTATTATTCATATTTGAATGTTTCTGTATTGTTTTAACCTAATTTGAATAATACATCTGTAAGATGGTTATATCGCAATATTAATTTAAATGTTATAATCAAATAGTCTTTCTACAGTATATATTACGTATAACAGAGAACCCTAATGCATATGTACATTGTTATAAATTTAATGTAAAGAAGAAGCACATATTAAAATTTACATAACTTATTAATTCATATGAAGAGTAGAGTTAAATATCATAAATTCTTTAATCTTCTTTTGTTGGTTCACCTTGACCTTTTTGTTTTTCTAGTTGTGCTCTAAAATGACAATACTACACATTAATCACTATACATTTATAAATAATATAAAGAAAGTTACATTGTAGAGACATACAATCATAGGAAGAAAATAAGGTTAAGGTGAAAATATTTATTACGTGATATATACCTCAATTGTTGATTAAAATCATCTTCAACATCGTCATCGTCCCAATTATCCTCCCATACACTAATATCTTCATTATCTTCATCTTTTGCTGTCCAATCTATCAAATGATTCAGCGAAATAAAGGTTATGTTTCAATATATCTCTATATCCCATAATAAAGAAGTAATATATACCTTCTGCTGGGAATTCTTCAAATTCATCATCTTCTTCAAGTAATCCTAAATCTACTTTGGTTTTGTCGTTCTTGCCGTCTGTCATTTTACAAAATTTACTTTGACTTAATATCAACTGACAAAAATCACGCGTATAAGTACATGAATCACCTTAGAGCAGTGAAGTCAGATCGCGGAACATTTTTACCCCTTCTCTCGAGCCCAGCACGCCTCGCACACAACGAAATGTTACGTGTCGGTGTGTCGGGAAATCGAAAGAAGCCGAGGGAAGCCGAAGTTAGCTGCGTGACAGAGGAGAAATAATATCCCCACCACGCGCCGCGGAGAAATACATGGCACATTTAATCTGTGTACACGTACATTTTTTATGATTTCAGCTTCTTTTTATTTCAGTAAAATAGTAATAAATAATAATAATAATAATAATAATAATAATAATAAAAATGTACACGTACACTGATTAAATGTGTCCATGTATTTCTCCGCGGCGCGTGGTGGGGATATTATTTCTCCTCTGTTCACTCAGCTAACTTCGGCTTCCCTCGGCTTCTTTCGATTTCCCGACACACCGACACGTAACATTTCGTTGTGTGCGAGGCGTGCTGGGCTCGAGAGAAGGGGTAGAAATGTTCCGCGATCTGGCTTCACTGGTTTCTTATGGTGGGAGATCCCCCTCCATGTTGCATATATGTTTATATCGTGCTTGCGTCAGTGCTGTCAGATCGTGGGTAAATCTTACCCTCTCCCTGTGCCACTGGGATTGCACACAATTAAAGTTTTCCATGTCCGTGTGTTTGGGATGTCGAAAGAAGTCGAGTGTAACCGAAGTTGGCGGGCACGCCGGAGTGGYACACTATGAAAGCGACTCGTGTCGTCCGAACACATGGACACGAGTCGCTTTCATAATGTGCCACTTCGTGGCCAACCGCCAACTTCGGTTACACTCGGCTTTCCTCGAAATCCCAAACACACGGACATGGAAAACTTTCATTGTGTGCAATCCCAGTGGCACAGGGAGAGGGTAAGATTTACCCACGATCTGACAGCACTGGCTTGCGTACGATAAAGGTAGTTGTGTGATTTATTACAAAATTAATAAAATAGATGGCATTAAAAAAATTAAGTAATAAATAATTATTTACATACAAACAACTATTGAGATTTGTTACACAGATTTGTATAAATGATTTACATAACATTATTCATAATATAGTTAAATATTCTTGTTGCATTTTCCATGATTTTGTGAGGTTACTGACATTGTTAAAAAAATCAAATTAGTTTTTTCATGTGCATACAATATATATTATGTGTATATATATATAATTTATTAATATTATGTGTATGTGTGTATTACGTATGTATGTAATTATTTGTTACAACTACAGAGTTTTCATTTTTCACAAAATAGATTATAGTACGATATAAATATATTAAGTTAAAAAATAATTTATAAATTTAATAATGTTATCTAGTAAGTAAATTTGTAATACTTTTATGCGCGAAAAAATTTGTATATTAAACATTTATACATTGTAAAAGTAACATATATATTTCTCTAGTTTTATAATACTTTGATTTACTTTATTTATTAACAAACAAATGTTAAATGCTTTGTACTATTTCAGCATACGTTATACCATCTAATAATGAGCATATAATAAATAATGATACTGAGATTGCAAAAGATAATACTGATAAATATGAGGAATGTTAATATCATTTTTGTTATTCGCAGCAACAACTTGATGCTATAATATGTTATCTCAATAAATATTGTATAAATTTATACGAATAATAATAATAATAATAATAATATAATATATAAAATCAACTAATTAAAGACCAAAAAAGTGAGTAGTTTTTACTCTATTGTCACAGCATTAATATTCTATATCTTGAAAAGAATATGGTATATAATATAATTATGTAAAATGATTTTTAAAACTTTTAGACATTCGTTTTTGATCTACATTGTTAATATTTCACAGACTTGTAGCTTTGGTTTCACTATTTTTCTATTGTAATCCATTAAAATGTACTCCCTTTTAATAGAAGCTTTGAACTTCTGGGCTGCAAGATCTTGAAGAAGCCGGTGTATTTATGTCCATGCAAATATTTGTGTTACACGCTGGTTTTTGGGATTCCGATATTTCAACTTTTTGATTAGTAGGGTTCTCATCGTTTCTTATTGCACATATTATATCCGTAAGAGCAACTATATAATTTTTGGCTAATGTAAGAGTTTCTATTTTGGAAAGACGTCTTTCCTTAGTAACATGTGGAATTACTTCGCGTAGAGACTAATAAAAAAAAGCAATAAACATTTTTTAACATTGCATATATCTTTCAAATAATCTTACAATAATAATAATTATTATTAATATTTATATTATTATTATTATTATTATTATTATTATTATTATTATTATTATTATTATTATTATTATTATTACGAAGGAAATCAATATTTACCTGAAATGCATCATTCAAACTATGCATTCTCATTCTTTCTCTTTCATTACTTTCTAATCTACGAAGCGTCCTTTCTTTGGATGTAGATGTTCGTGGAGACTTTGATAATCTAAATTTGTCTGATTTTTTGGATGTTCGACGTACTGTACCGCTATCTTGTACTCCTTGTCCAGTCCACTTTGCTTCCCAATTGTTTTCACCCGTTACTTTAGATCTCATTATATGAAGAAACTGTATTATCAAATGTAAATTAATCTATACTCATTTATTATATCATTTAAAATTTACTTAATCTAAAAATTCAAGTATTGAAGATCTTAATTTATTTCTAATATACTTGAAAGCTTCGCAAAATTAATAAATAATGAAATAATAAGATGAATATTACATAATTAAAAAAAAGAAAGGAAAAGAAAACAAAATGCGATATAATTTATATTAATATTAATATTTATATTTATATTTATCATATGAGAAATTTGTAAAAAAAATAGCACTATTTAAAGTAACGATTTGAAAATGATTGTCTATTTTTCCAATATCTTAAAGAATCATACCTTATATTTAATTTAGTGATGTTAAAGAATTTGAATCGCTGTTCGAGTACCGCGTGTACTTGTTGAGCCACGCTGGAAGACTGCCGTCGCGACGTCGGGGTGCGGTCGGCGCCACCTTCCACCCTCCAATATTGCACCACCTACAGCGTGGCTTATTCTTTATCATTAAATGACAGAATTTCTTTTCACTAACTACCTATTAATAGATCAAACCAAAATATAAATTAATTTTTTTATTTTCGCCAAATAATTAATCGAATGTTGTTTTGTCCATTATTTAATTATTAAATTGAAGTAAACGATATAAAAGAAATTAAAGAAATGCAGGAGTTCAATGTTAAATAATGAGTCAGTATTTCGTTTATTTTTTATCTCTTCAAATGATTTCAACATGATTCTTGCAATAAATCTTTTATCACTAATGGAAAAAACAAATGTAAGATGCAAGGAAGAATTATATTTTTATTTTAATTGAAATAATAAAAAGAATACGTTTAAAAGGACACCCAGTATATATTATAGCGTTCGAAGTGTTTATATGTATGTGTCGTATATATGAGTGGCTACAGGTGGGCGTATGACGTAATTCGCCCACGCGGAGTCTTCTATTTGCTTATTACCGCTTTACCACTAACTACACCAGTCAAGAGTGTGTATGAAAGAAAGGGTACGCGCGCGTTAAGCTAGGGGTGATTTTTTATTTTTTCAAATCAAATGAATTAATATATATATAAGAAAAATTATTGATATCTAACAATAAGATAAAGAGAAGAACATGAGAGGGAGGGAGAGAAAGAAAGAAAAAAATAAAATAAGGCATCGTATAATTTGTTTCTTTTAGATATCATATTTTTAGGATTATTTTTTGGCAATAAACTATCAGTAAGCTATGAAAAAATATTTTATTACTTATTCTCCAGTTTTACATTTACCACAGCATGTATTAACGCGTTTCTCTAATTCAAACTCTTTATGATTTGGTGTCCATGGACCTAAACTAGCCGCAGAGTAAAAATCCATAGGATATGCTTGATTTCTATCATATTCGGCCATTTCCAGGGCGACCGCACCTTCGTAAGGTGTGAGAAAAGGCTTATGGAATTGAGCACCCCAATCGATGCTGAGACGTGGACATGCAACCTTAAACATTACAACATCTCAAATTAACAAATATCATATTTGAAAAGAAATCTAATTAAAATGAAGCGTTATTTAAAAAACTTTCTTCAAAGTTTTATGAATATACCTGTATAAAACTATCTACGTTTTTGAATAATTTTATTTTATCTGGGAATATTTCGGAAAGTAAAATAATAATACTTTCTTTTCCTAAAGCTTTCAACCTATTTTGTAATTGATCCACAATTCTTGGATGTCCCTGACGACCTAAAGTCCCAAGTATCACTCCAAATATTTGAGCATTCTTTGCTATATTAATCGCCGAGAGTCTTGTTTCACGCATTTCTTTGTGATCATAGAATTCTTCTGTCATTTTTTTTTCGTAAGGATCATATCTGAATGCTCGCAAATTTGGATTAGCAATCATAGCAGCTTCGAGATGAAATCTACCATCTCCTATATAGACTAAAGCATCCGTGCAATGCATTTGTGGCGCAGTGCAACCTAAAATCTTTAATAATGATTTATATTAATTTGATATATTATAATAAAGTAAAATAAAAATATAAAATATAAGGATAATTACTTCGCCTGGGCTCAATGGTTTACTCTGTGGTATAGTAACTTCATATCCATTTTTTTTTAGTTCCGTTGCAATTGTTTGTAATGTTCCTACAAACTGTATCGTACTAACAAGTGAAATTTTAGAAGTAACTAATAAAGATGCTTTAATGCTTTCTATACAATGTACAATGTCAATACTTATATTAACAAATACATAGAGAATTTTAATTCCAATAGTTTGATCGATAGGTATTAGACAAGAGTGTCCATAATGAATCATAAAATCTGCACCTAATGCTCGAGCTGTATAATCATCTATGCAACAAGCACCTAAACAAACAGAAGAATATTAAATAATAATTAGATTAATAATAAATAATATTCAACGTTTATTTGTATAATTATAATCTTTTACCATATGTTACATCAGCCATAATAATACTTTCTGCATCCGTAAAATTTTCAATAATATCAGCTATAGTTGTTGCATACATTAATAATCCTTCTGGCATTTGTAAAGCGACTCTTTTCGCTTTTGTTTCTTTGATTCTCCATATCGATTTGTGTATTTCAAAATTGTAATTATTAGGCAAAGCTGCAATGGCTGCATTCAATAATGGATCATTCAAAAGTTCTTGCGGTATCTTATTAACTTTGACTGGAGCTTTAAATACTTTACGAATTGGTTTAGCCTTAATTACAACAGCAGATTCATATTCTGCGATCATGATTAAATGATATGCTTTTATTCAGATATTATGTCATCATTATAACTCGTGTCATTTTACTTCAATTAAATATTTATTAAATATACATTAGTTACTACACCTTAGAAATTTAAAGGCCATTCACGTGTCTGAAAGTTTAGTTATGATCAGATAACCTTACCGATATAATAATATTATAATTCTTTTGCCAAACGTCAGTATCGCCAACTGAATAACCATAAAATTTCTAAATTATTTCAATATATATTTTGAAAAATAACCAAACGAATTTCATATAGAAATAAGGCCATTTCTTAAGCCACATACGTATTATTATTTCTAATCTACCGATTTGTAATATTACTTTCTTTAATATTTTACATATTAATAACAGAGACAAATTTCAATTGTATTATTGAATTTTTGATTATGATCAAAAGATTTATGATTGGCCAGAAAGAAAGAGCTTCGTTATTTGCTGCTACTCTTGCTCTCTCTTACGGGATTGGCTCAATTCAATTTCATCCGACTCTGCGTGGTAGCTTCTTGTGTACACTTGCATATTTATACATATATATAGATAATATGGATTACGATAGCGGTGTGACGTTGATTTAACTTTTCATTTTGTTATAATAAAATAAAATTGTAAAAATATATAAAGGTGTAACTGTTTTGTAGTGACAAGATTCTTGTATGCTCTGTCTCTTTCCTTTGTATTTAATAATGATTTGTCAAAATCAATGCTGCATAAGCCATTTGTAGAATGAAACGCAGCATCATTAAAATGACATTAAATCTGTCACTCTTTGAATACGCTATTTGATAAATTCTATTGTTATTATAAATTTTACGATTGTGTGTGTGAAAAGATGTCTGCGAATAGGTTATTTAATGCTTACGTTATTTTAATATGGGTTTTCTAAGTTTTCTTAATATTTTCTTTATCACATAATTAATGGTATTTATCATGAGTAATAACTGCATATGTAATTTAGTCAATCTGACAAGCTGAATCAATTGTACTTTATAATTATAATGTACTTTAGTATTCTTATGAAAAGAATAAAGTGGTTTTAAGTGACATTTGTAAAGAAATCGTAGTTAGTGACATGTTTGGAACATCAGTTTTGTGCTGTGTAGAAAGGAATGAGGTTTCTACTGTTGTTTTATCTTAACTGTGCAATTTATCTGCATACATTTGTAACATTCTCTAGCTTACATATAATAGTGATTTAACGCTTAAAAATAGAACACTTCCAAAAATGCTGGAAGTAGGCTTACGTGTTGTGCGTGGTCAAGATTGGAAATGGGAGGACCAAGATGGTGGAGAAGGTCATGCCGGTACAGTGGTAGAAATTGGTAAACCACCATCTGGAAGTTCAGCTTCTAGTCCTAATCCTGCTGATAGAACGCCTGACAAGACTGTTATCGTTCAGTGGGATCATGGTTCTAGAAGTAATTATAGAATTGGATATCAAGGAGCTTATGATTTGCTTGTCTTTGACAACGCAGCTATCGGTGTAAAACACTGTAATATTATTTGTGATGGATGTAAAAAGCGTGGCATAATTGGTATGAGATGGAAGTGTACAGAATGCTCTGATTATGATTTATGCACACAATGCTATATGGCAGATGTACATGATTTAACTCATACTTTTCAAAGATTTCAAACTCCTACTTCTATAGAGTTAGTAATGTTTATTTATTAAAGTTATAATTTTTAACTTGTTTATGGCTTTTCTTTTGTATTCACTTCTAAATGTATAGAACTTTACTTCAATATAAATGTATATATTGGTGCATAGGATACAACTGAGTGCGAGAGAAGGTTGTACCAAGATACCTTTGAAAGGTATTTTCATCGGAGCAAAAGTAGTTCGTGGACCAGATTGGGAATGGGGAAATCAAGATGGAGGTTCAGGTAAACACAAGTATATATACCATATATGGTATAACATTATGCGACATTTCTAGATCATTATTGTTTAGCATAATGTTGTTTTTTTTTAATAGGTAAAAGTGGAAGAGTTATGGATATTCGTGGTTGGGATAATGAAAGCAGCCGTTCAGTTGCTACCGTCACATGGTCTACAGGAAGTACTAATGTCTATCGACTTGGATATAAAGGTTGCGTAGATTTATGTTATATAGAAGAAGCCACTGCTGGTACCTATTATAAGGAACATCTTCCACTTCTTGGTCAACCTGTAATCGTATATCCAGACAGTAAACACGATTCTGTATTGAACAGAGGCAGTACTCCTAATGTTGTTGTTTCTAGTCTTCGTCAATCAACATTTAACATTGGAGATAAAGTCAAAGTTTTGATTCAAGTAGAAGCTCTTAAAGAAATGCAAGATGGTCATGGTGGATGGAATCCACGCATGGCAGAATATATAGGAAAGGTAATGCAAAATAATAAAATGTATAATTAAAATAAGTTAAATATATATATATATCTAACGTTGTTATATGTGTATTATTTTTAGATTGGGACTGTTCATCGGGTAACAGACAAGGGAGATATTCGTGTACAATACGAAGGTTGTAATAACAGATGGACATTTCATCCAAAAGCTTTAACGAAAGTAACAAGCAAAGATATATTCTCTCTTGGAGATATAGTTAGAGTAAAAAATGATTTAATTACGGTGAAACATTATCAACGAGGACACGGAGAATGGATAGATGTAATGAAAACAGTATGTATTAATGAAGTATCTTCTTTTATACATAACAACTCTTTACTATTACTTTTCTAAACACATAATTTGTTCTTTTTAGCTCATCTTACTTTTCAAACGTTATATCTTGAGTATACTTCTTGGATAAATTATTTTACAGGCTCTTGGAAAAACTGGAAAAATAATAAAAATATATTCGGATGGAGATCTGCGTGTAGCACTGGATGGCCATACGTGGACATTTAATCCTTTGAGCGTATCATTGATGCCACCTGGATCGCATAACATACCTGTTATAAATGAAGAAGCAGATAGGAATAGAGATCGATCAGGTATAATGGTGTGAAATATGAAAGAGATATTATATATATATATATATATATATATATATGTAATGAATAATAATTTTGTATTATTGCATAGTCAGTGCAACGGATAATGAAGTAGAGAAATTGTTACGAGATGCTGCTAGAGGCGAGGCAGGCGTTCAAGCGGTAAGAGAATTTTTGAAAAAATATCCCAGTAGAGTAGATGCTCGAGCTGGTGGTCCTAGCGGGGAGAAAAAAACTTGCCTACAAGTGGCTGCACACCAAGGACAGCACGACCTTTGCATACTTCTTCTCGATGCCGGAGCTTCTTTACGAGCGGTCGACGAAGACGGAGATACTCCACTACATTATGCTGCTTTTGGGTAAGTAAAGAAATTAGAATAATTAGTTTATTAATATTATATATTGTTATACTATATTGTTTGTTTTATTATTATATTGTTATACTATATTGTTTGTATATTATATTGTTAACTCTTTGACAGCAATCAACCAGAAATAATGGAATTACTTCTGTCGCGAGGTGCGGCTATCAATGCTGTAAATAATGGTAAATGCAGTGCTCTGCATGTTGCTGTAAATAAACAGCACGTTCAATGTGTAAAAATATTGTTACGTTATAATTGTGATGTGAATCTACAAGATTCATATGGAGATACGGCGTTACACGATGCTATTGGAAAAGACGCGCTTGATATTATCGACGCGCTTTGTGCTTGCGAAAGGATTAACTTTACTTTACGTAATAAGCGTGGTTTTAATGTATTACATCATGCTGCTTTAAAGGGTAATGCACAGTAAGTATGCAACAGATGGATAACTGATTGTTAATCTTTTTTCATAGTTAAGTTTAGATTGTGTAACTCGCGTCTTGGTTTGTCTAGTGCTACGGAAAGACTGATGACAAGAGCACGGCATTTGGTAGATGTGAAGAAGGAAGATGGTTTTGCGGCATTACACCTTGCAGCGTTGAATGGTCATAAAGATGTGGCAGCTACGCTTCTTTCTCCAAATGGCGGATGTGCAAAAGTAGATTTACGTAATAATAGAGGACAAACGGCTTTGCATTTGGCTACTTCGCAAGCGCATTGGTCTCTGATAGAACTGCTTATAGATTATAATGCAGACATTACTAGCACTGATGAAGATGGAGATACGGCATTGCATATTGCTGTAGCCAAAAGTCCGAATCAACCGTCGACTATACCGACGCCAGAATGTAGCAGAGATTCACCTATTATCTACGGGGTACTGTATTGTCTATTATCAAAAGCTTATTTGTTCCTAGATATATGGACAACTGTTAACGCGATACAACTATGAAAAATGGCGGTTTGTGCAGATTTGGCAGACTTTAACAACGCAAAAAACAAAATCTGAATTAGCATTGGCTTGTTTTCTGGTAAGCGTGGATAAAACTCGTACACTTTTGGAACATGCTAAGAATTCGAAAAATAAAACTCCTTTGGATCTTCTCAATGAGGACCCCCAAGTTACAGTGCTCACTAAACTTTTAAAATCATACGAATATCAAAGCAATAATGTGCAACTTGAGTAAGTACCGTTCTTAAATCTTCATTTTGTTCTCTTAAATACTTTCAAGCGCTATGAGTAGAGCGATTCGTATTAATGAACAATATTACAGAATAGGAAATAGTTCATCGTCTAGTTGTACAGAAGCTACGATACATCATAGAACTACCACATCGGAATCAGAATTATTGCGTGAAAACGTTCAAATTAATTCTACCGAATCTGCTAAATGCTGTAGTTGCCCACAATTTTTAATTAATTCAAAAGAAGAATCTCGATTCGATCCTAGTGGTAGTGTTCCTAATTTTGTTGCTTGTCCACATTGTAGAAACAAGACAAACCAATCAGAAATAATTCAAGGTAATAATATGCTACTGTAATATTCATATTAACAAGTTTAAATAATATATTTTTTTGAAAACAGATGGCCCAACGGCGATGGCGAATATACCTACGGTTAAAACAGATAAGAAAATAACAGATGTTTCATTGGAATATAAAATAAAAGAAGATAAAGGAGATGATGAGAAGGAAAAAGAAAGACATCTCGAACGATTGCGTTATTTGGAAACTAGGGTAGCTGATCTTGAAGAAGCTAATATGTGTAGTATTTGCATGGAACGTCGACGAAACGTTGCCTTTCTATGTGGTCATGGTGCTTGTGAACATTGTGCAGCACCTTTAAAAACATGTCATATGTGTCGTAAAACTATTACTAAAAAAATTAATCTATATTAGAAATTAAACTAATGAGATAATAATTAATGTCAGACTATACAGAAAGAAAAAAAAATAGTAAAAGTAGATAGACAATTAAATTCCTATTTGGGACTGAAAATTATAAATGAAACTCATTGTTAAGTTGAATTTCAAGTATTAGTTAGATTTGAAATATCTTTTTATCATTTCCTTTTATTTTTCTTTATTTAATTTTATTAGTTCAATAAAAAAATACCACCTTTTTATAATAACATTTAGTATTAAGTGAATTATTTTAAAAAGAGATTGGTAATTAATGTATGTAATTCATTTTAAATATTGCTATACAGTAGAATCTTCATTATATGAATGATGAATGCGTGAAGGTTTACGTCGTGTAAACTATCATATGAACGGTATTCCTACTATAATACTGTAAATAAACCAAAATATTATTTGTTTTTGTAAGACGAAGTTTACAATAATGATTCAGTTTCAAGTGACACTTGTTACTCTATAATATGAACAATTCTTTCAATTAATTGAAATAACTTATGTATACATAAGAACATCGTTCACATTTTTATATCAATTTATTGAAGAAACAAACTAATGTATTATATTATTAAAATTAAAATAAAAATATTAATTAATATAAAATAAATGAAAAACAGAGTGCATGTGAGAGAGAACGAAAATTGAATTAATTGTCCTTTCGTCTAACGTAGATTTTTCTATCATCAAATATATACAGTGCGAATAATATACAACTTATTATTAGATAAGTAATTATAATGTAACATTTGAACTTTTATCATGTTTTTACGGATGTACGGGATTTATATTGTCTTCAATAAATACTAATTGAAAAATAGTACAAAAGCAGATTGTTTTGCAATCTTTTGAAAAATATTTCATGTAAAATTTTTCTCTACTAATTATTTTTCGAAATTCAAAATGACTATATAAGATAAATAATACATCAGGAACAGTAAAAAGGGTCAAACAATTGTTTAATGAATTATAAATTATAATTATATTTAAGTAATCTAAAAAAATAAGGCATTTAAATACTAGGTAGCGCTGACAAGTATGACTACTAGCGCCATTAGAATCAGATGTAAAATACAATTGAAGAATTGTATTATATTTTCATGTATATTTTCATCTTGTACATTTTATGCGAATGTTGAATGATAGTACACGCGTAGTTACAAATTTCTATTTAAGTGAGTTAAATATGATCTGAAAAAAAGAAAAATTTCTTGTTCATTTTACAAAACGTTTGATATATTTCTGTAGATAGAAAAGGTGATATTATAGGTTATTTGTAACGCGTGACATAATAACAAAGATTAAATTGGTCAGTGATAATGACAAACAAATTTAAAATTTTCACTACCTTCGTCCGTAATTACTCAGCACCAAAAAAGTGGGAAGTAGATGAAGTCAGATATGGAAACATTAGATATTATCCAAGGTATGGATGGATATTTACACATAATTTATATCGATACATAACGTAACGACAATTTTAAATGGTTAATTTTAGATCCCCAAACCATAAAGATCCTCCGATTGTACCATCGAAGCTTTTAATGGTTACATTGGTAAAACCTTTTGCTGGTAATCCATATTGGGAAAAAAATGTACTTAAACAATTGGGTATCCAAGAAAGAGTAAGAAATGTCATGAAATATTTGATAATAACTTTGACAATATACGTAGGTTGGAACTTAAATAGTGGCAACTATTTATTCACAACTGATACAAAAGAGTTACATGTTTGCACCTGTTACTGTCCTTCAAAATAGTCACCAGCGTTGTATAGAACCCGTTGCCAGCGATTTAGAAGGTGTAGTATACCGTTAGTAGAACCTTTTCTGTTGATGGTGCGAATGGAGTGGTCTACTGTATATCGAATCTCTGGAACCAAAACTGAAACGCCAATTGAATGAGTGGCGTCATTATAGGTCGCCACGAAAGTTGAAAGTGCGTCAGAGCCTCAGTATGGTGAAAGTTATGGTGATTCCACCATTTCCATTTCGTGGCATTCGTTTCAGAACTGCTCCAGAGATTCGACAGGCAGTAGACCGCTCCATTCGCACCATCAACAAAACAGGCTCTGCTAACGAGTTCTACACAACGCTGGTGATTACTTTGAAAGACAGTAACAGGTGCAAACGTGTAATTCTTTTGTATCGGTTGTGAATAAATAGTTGTCACTATTTAAGTTCTAATCTACGTATATATATATATATATTTCCCAATACTATTATAAAAAAATAAAATAATTGTCTTATAGGGAAGAGTTCCGGTAATAGTTAAAAATATTCCCGAGATATGCTCGATGCTGTGGGTAGTTAAACACCTTGTGAAAATAACTCCAATTAAGCTACCCGACAAGTTGCCCGATCCGGATGTCTTAGGTGAAAGTTATCTGCACGAGAATGGAACTTTGTATGTCATCCCTAAGATAGATCCATTGCGCATAGAGAGCACCGAACAATTTATAAATAATCCCAAAAAATTAGAAAACGCAAGATTAAAAGAACAGTTAAGATTGCACTGGTTAAACGGTACTTTACCATAATGTGTAATAAAATGTATTAAATGTTGATCTTAATCTTAACAGGTAATATAAAAATAGTCATTGAACAAATAATATATTATTTATTCGTGTACCATTAATGGTCGTGCAACGATTTGTTACAATTTAACTTACAATTTATATCCTACTAACCATAATGTTGAAATTTTGTCAAACTTGTAGTTTGTTTGTAAACGGTACGATAGGACCCGATAGAAGTAAAGGATGCGTGCCGCTTTAGATCAGTCGTGCGGTCCTATACTCAGCGATATTAGATTATTTAATGTCTACGTTAAAAATGAAGAATAATAAAAGAAAAGAAAGTAGAAGAAGGAAAAAAGACATTGGAAAAATCTAAGTTTGTCGATGTGAATAAAATGGTTAATGGTGTCGTCTTATAGATTGAAAGAGAAATAAAAATTATTTTGCTAGGCCTACATCGCATCTTCCGGAAAAAGATGCATATACACGGGTGCATAAATAATAAGCATAGTAATAACGGCAAAATACGAGAACGAGACTCGTAGATCGTGCGCAAGTGGTGCGCTTGAAAATTGCTTATCTATCTGGAATGCTAACAAGTATCTATGCTGAAATCGCAAACTCGATATCCTATTAGTATACTAAGCTCTAGGAAAACAACTGTTGATATAGTAAGTAGATTTGAAAAAATTCTAATAACATATTATCATTTTTGGAAGTCCTAGTAAAAGATATAGAGACAATAATCTCTCGTTCGGTTTCATTCGACTTGTCTTATTTGAAATTTAGGTCGAACTTGATCGCCTACGACTTCGAAGCTTCCAAAATCGCCTGTCTCTGGACGTATGATGGATGCAGATTGTATTCTGCGGATTGGTAGCTTTTTCAGGCATATACATCTTTAAGAATTTTCCTGCTCGTTCTTCTTGCGACCGTTCGTACGTTTTGCCGCTAAGGAAGCTCAATAATTTCAAACTACGTCGTTTAATTCTCAAACGATTTAAGAAATTACTTTCCGACGTCGCTATAGTATTACCACCGTTGTTCTGACTATAGGATTCTTCTAGTAGCTTGTTGCTTTTGCTTTTTTTAATCATAAACTCTAATTGTTTTCTACGATCATGTTGCGCATCTAATTGTCTATATCTGCGCCTGTTATCGTCGGTTGATTCAACCGCACCCATCGCGATCGCGGCGTAAGCTTCCTTTTGCAATCTTTCGAAACTAATTTTTTCGGCATTTCTATTGCTAGACTCTTCGGCTCTCAGCGCGACCGATTCCAATTCTTTCAAACGATGTTCCTCTTTGACATTCTTCAAAGAGTCCGGCGACGTTAATTCTAACTTCGATCCTTCGTCAACGTCGGAGAGTTTTCTATGAAGATCTACAATTTTTCGTCGAAACTCTTCGTCTTCTTGGTTCAATTTCGCAAAAATACGATCCCTCTCGGTTGCATCGGAACTCGAGCTGACGTTTTTCAACGTAGTCGATTGCAACCTCTGTCACCACCATCCAACTTGATGTTTTCCACTTCCAGGCGAATCCTCCTCTTCGAGTAAAGGTTCGAGTCTTCTTCTGCTTAAGAAGCAACGAAGCGAACCGAGGCTACCTCCACCGAGTAATTGATCCATACTTAACTCGGGCAGGCCGCAATCCTCGTTATCGGATTCTTGATCGTGATCATCCTCCGTCGATAAATTCAGACCATAATTGTCTTCACCGGAAGCAGTCAAATTGTCGGTCCCATGTGATGAAGGTGGCGGTGGCGGAGGCGGTGGTGGTGGCTGCGGCGGCGGCTAGGGAAGTCAGGCACATCTCGGGCTAGTGATTCTTTGCAAACAAAGGGCAAGCGAGTCATGCAAAGGCGTGCGAAGCTTACAGGCTATATTCGATGCTTTTACGGAAGATACTGGCTTCGCCAAAAGATTTGTCATTTTTTGTCTTTTGACATTGTAACCGATACCTTCCCATATACGTATAATATAAATGTGCTGCTAAAAATAATTACCGAATGTGTTGTAAAGCTCTCATCATCTGGACCACCGGAGGTTGGGGTACCCCAAATGTCATCTCCTGAGGTTGCACCTGATGTAGTACCCTCTTCGTCGTTAGGATCAAGAGAAAATTCTGTCCTTTCTGGAGGGACCGGCGGTTGTAGAAGGTAACCACCGACTCCCTCGCTAAATTGCTCCAAAAGAACCATTTTGCTAACAACATAATTACTAGCTCTTGCTGTCCAAGCTCTCAAACCTGAAGGTGGTGATTCTGTTTCACGATTTTCATCGTCTCCTTGCTCGTCCAACTCGTCGTCTTGGTCCAAACTACTCATTGTACCAAATCTTCTCAAGGTTCTACATAAAATTGGGACGATTGTTGGGAAGAGGCGAGATAATATAGGAATGATCTCCTTGAACTTATTAGCTTAAATTTACCTGTAAGGTGGTTCCCCGTCGCAATCGAGATCATCTTCGCTTCCATCTTCCGTATTACCATCGGCAGAAACGTAATTCGGACTGTTACGTCCTGGACTATCGTGTAGGCCGTTTCTTAATCTATATCTCGCTGTATAAATATCTGGCGTAGGTGGCATAACAGATATTTTGGGAGGTAACGGAGAGAAGGGATCCCTCGGAAGTGGTGGTGTAGGGCAGCCAGACCTGAAAAGCAAAAGAAGAAAAGAGAAAGGAAATGTAATGAATTAATATTGCAAGAGTGTATAAAATCTTAAATGTACTTCATTTAATAGATAAGAGTTATAGATTATAGATAAGGCATATAACCTATGACATCGTCTACAGATGCTGATAGAACTCGTAGAATTGTCTTTCGAAGATATGTAGCTGCCATTTTTTCTCGCCGTAATGCTGTTGGATTTGACCGTACTTAAACTGGCACTCGAGGCTGTGCTCTGTTGCTCTACGTCCGAATTAGCAGTTACAATCTCTTCCGTAGTTTCCGTAATTTCTTCAACGGGCCTTTCTTTATTTTCTCCAGGTGCCCTTGCGGCTAACTCTTCGGCAGTCCATTCCTCGAGAGAGCCTTCATTATCGGATGGCGGTATTTGATGAGAATTGCGCACCCATTGGGCTAAGTGATTGTCCTCTCGCGTATTTTTCAAAATATCTACCAGACTTTCGCTCGAACGACATTCCTTTTCTTCCTTGCGCTTATGCGAGTCCCGTAAAATCTGCTAGGAATCGTATATTAAATAGCATATAAAAGGATTAAATGTCAATTTAATGCTAGATCATTATCGTACCCGCGGACTTTCGATCGTTTCTCGAACTTGAGTAAAGTTGGTGCTGGTAATCGGACTTTCTTCGGGACTGCCAACGCTCGACGTTCCACCATAGCCTGTATTTAGATAGATTCTAAAATACAAGGGATTAGAGAGTACTTGGATAAACGATAATATCTAGGATGTAAGAATGCATATTTTGTTTGTTTTTTACTAACTTTCTCTATCCGAGTACTCGTCGAACATGATATACATGATGTATAAACATGATATATCGACCAAGCACCACTCGAGCAAGGTGGCAATTATATTAATTACATTTGTGGCTACTCACATTTGCCGTTGCAACAAGTTATGCCAAACAGCTTTGAGCTCTGGACTGGGCGCTCTCAATATGATGACTCGTCTTCGAGGACGACTGTGAGGACTACAACCTCCGCTGTTGGTCACTTCTGTTTGACCGTTCTCAGAACTGCCATTCGAATTAATTGCCACCTGTAATCTGAATTCCGTTGGCCTCTTTCTGATGGTAAAACACGCCTCCGCAATATTGGCCAGTCGCAATGGTTCCTCGGTAACGAAAAGGACGCGATCCCTTGAAACGCGAGCAAAGACCAATAAATCGGTAAGAAGGAGCGCCCAGGATGGTTGCAAACGAGCACGACCTTCGACCTTAGCTAAGGCACCGCCAAAAAGCCTGTCGAATATATAGTATAGTAGCTGTATAGTCGATATGTTGAACGATTTGAGAGGACAGAGTCGACTGACCATTGCCTTCCTGGCATAGCTAAAGTGAACGGTTTGCATTTAGCAAAAACCAACCGCGACTCGACTTCCTGTAAACTAAGTAATGGTCTTCCGGTGTCTCGTGGTGGTTCCATCACGCCCGCATTGGCGGTAGCTTCTCGGTAACCTTGTGCCAAATCTCGAGCTTGTTGGCAATTCCTTGGCGACGCCAAGCTCAATAATCTCGTCATTTCTCTGAAAGGTGGAAATCGTTATCGACGTCCCTAAATATATAGCGATCTAGTACCTGTAGTGCTCTAATGGGAGCAAGAGGATTCCAGTGAGGTCGGGCCGCCTTTTATGAGGTACGGCAGGTTCACAGACCAACTTTGCAAAGGCCGCATTACGTCTGAGCGCAATGAGTAAGTAACAAGCCCATTGCAATCCACTGAGGTATCGCCTGTAGGCGGCCGTAATCTTGGGTATCCTGCAGAGATAGCAATCGACCCCGCCACCTTCGTCTCTAATCTCCTCGGATATCTTAAGCAACTCGTCTAGATTTTGAAAGAGGATCATGTAGTCCGCCGCGGAGAGAAGGTCACGCCTTTCGGCCAGCGGTGTCATGAATCTCGTGTGACCGCTCTTCAGAATCCCCCGGTATCTCGTCTCTCGTACCGATAACTCTTCCTCCGGTGGTGCGTCCGGAGCAAGATTCGGAAAAACCTGATCACGTAGACGTGCAAGATTTTCGTCCTGTCTTTTCGAACTACTACCAATCGAGAGACCGCATGCATTAATGTCCTTACCTACGAATGTTCTTATTTTTCAATTAACTGATCAGCTATTAACTAATCATTATTGCTTAGGAACACTGTCTATATATACGTAATTCATGATTTTGTTCAACGAAGCCAGTGAAATTGGTGCAGAATTGGTTAGATTTTCTAACCGAGAATAAACAAATCCTCCAAGAATACCAAATTCCATGCGATTTTGTCTATTATATTGTATAATTTTGTAGACTTTTAGAATTTGTTTAATTTTACTATTATCTTTCGACTTGCATGCAACAAGAGAAAGTATCGAACGGATTAGCTAATTTCGCATCTCCTACGATAGTCGCATTTCTCTTTCCTTCTTTTTACGTAAAAGTAACACCTACTTACATACATAAAATTCGAATAAGGAATATGGATGAGGATGTGACCATAAATAAAAAGAACAATGATTGTAGTTTAAAAGAAAACTTGTTGACAAGAAACAAATAAAAGATAACCGAATAAAAAAGTACAAACAAATATTGAAATGATAAATTGAGAGGAGGGTAACAAAGGGAAATGAGTATAAATGCAATGGTTGATCATCGAGTCACGCTTGCTTATAAAATATCGCGATAAGAAGTAAAGGATTTAAAAACAATTTAAATCATATATATATATATAATACAGCGGGGTACTGTCATCGAACTTAGACCAGAACGCCGGTACCGACCTCGGCGTTGAACGCGACAGCGTGCTGACTAGTGGGACCGATGGTTTGTTGAAGAGTAACATTCATCGAGCTGGGCCTGTGCTGCGAGGAATGAATGCCTCCCTTGCGATAAACCTCGAGAACGAGTTGATTCGTTGCCGCCTGGATCAAACTCAATATTTCGTCCCTTGGTTTCGTAACGACGTTCACCGTTTCGATGAAGACCACGTAATCGCCTGGCTTTAAACCGGATCTTTCGGCAGGACTTGCCGAATCTACGCGCTCCACGCGCGGCGGTCTGCCCCAGGATAACGAGAAACCCCATGGCACCTAGAACAAGTAGAGGAAAGGATACTTATAAAGCACGCAAGGAATTTTTTTTTGTTGGATTACACTTCCATACCTGATTCACGGCACTTTGTCTAATCAGTCTTCTAGTTACAGTACAAGGCGTCCTACCACCTTTCGCGGTAAAACCTGGATGTAGAGGTAAGCCGGTCAGAGGATCAACTGGTTCTAGTTCGAGATGCCTCAAATACGTCAAATCATCGTTTCCGGAATTGTTGTTATCTGATTCTCCATCTTTGGATAAAGGTGGCGAGACTCCACATTCTTGTGGTACTCCTGCATAAGGGGTACTTGTATTTCGGCTGGATCCAGATTCGAGCGGGTGCCATGTTGCTTCCTACGATATATTAATATTCCTTTATCAATCTCTTTCGTTTTTCAAGCAACCGAGAAATATCGCGTTCTTTATTGACGTCTCTAAAATGCATATCGATACAACGCGGTTATTAACAAAATTCAAGAAGTTTTAAAAGAACGCCGATAACGATAAAAGCAATGCAATAAATGGCAACAGCGATCATTGTTTGTTACGTTACGTTAGTGAGAGAAAAAAGGAACACTAGACAAATATAGTAAAGATCAAATGTCGTGTAATACTGCAACGAAGATTCGATGAACACTGGACTCGAGGAGGAACTATCATCGGCTTAGCCGTGACCTTAAGCGAGAAGACCTACGAATCGTCCACGATTATATTACACGCGTCGAGTAATGGTATAATTCTTGCTCTAATCGTATTCGCGCTTTTTCCTATTACAAATAATAACCGTTACCTTATCCTGAGACAGAGGTAGAGGTAAAGTCATACAGCCCAGCAGTTCGCTACGTCTGAAAAGGGGAAAAAAAAGAAACGAACATCAATATTTGATAGTAATATTTTGTTGCTTTTAGGTGGTACCAAAAGACACGCGAAGTCAAATAGGATTGAGGGATGAAAGAGAGGGTGAGACCATTTTCCTAAGATATATCTATGATATGCACGTTATAGCGGTGCGGATGTGACGAGAGAGAAATGCACGTGGTGATCCCGATGCGCATGCCTCGAGAGAATCGATTCCCCTCCTACCGCAAAGAACCCTCGATAATCTAGATATTAGTTTTTATGTTGGAATTGACCATATTGCCTTCAGCTTGCCAAAATAAAGCTGATATGAAAGATTTAATAAATGAATCATTTTCGTTCTATGTTTTATCTTTTTTCGTTTACGTACGATAGCAAGCCATTTTATAAGATTCTTCTTCTATTTAACGACAATTACGAATGAATCAACTGTAATGGCTAAGTGTAAATGTTATAGCAAGACAAATTTTATATGAAATGTCAATTGTTTTCGCGTTATCGTGCCAATTCTGATATATGAACAATTTTCCAATAACGATCATTACTATTTCCTCGAGCATGCTCACCTTGCTCGACGATCTCTGTGCCAGACCGCGATATCCAGGGATGTAGACTTGCTAATGAACTGATTAACCGAGCAGGGCAATAGCAAGGTCTCGTTAAAGGCGGGATTTGGTGTGGCTCTGTGAACTGCAGTTCTCTTGACGACTCCCTCGCCGTTGATATTTTTTAAGCTGACCTTGACGTAGGCGTGAATAGGTCCCTCGTAGGTTCTTCGAAGGTCCTTGCACCTTATCACTGCACGAAAGAAAAAAACCATTTGTTTGTTTTCAAAGATAAACAAGTTTCTTTCTTCTATTCTATCGTTAACCCTATCGATTCTAATTGTAAGCCTAAATCAATTGTCCTAACATACAATACAATAAAATTAAACGAAGGAAATTTCGTATATGTTTTATATAGCCTACACACACCGAAATGCACGGTACACACCGGTACACACCAGTACCAATACCGGTACCACGACCATTAATTACTTCAAAAGGCACTATTTGCGTTTTGCGTCATCCGAGCAAAAGGAGAATTAGCCGAAATTCCTTGTATAAAACCGATTGATTTGGTATACTATGCACACTTTCACAATCTCGCCCCAATAACTTAGTCGCGGAAATAAAGGGAGGGAACTAACCAAAGTTAGGTTTGAACACGATCCGAATTCAAGATTCTCGACCTTTTCTATGTTTATTGAGCCTACTAACCGATATGAAAATTGTAGGAGGGTCTTTGGGTTACTGGCACAGTATTGCTATTTTCTACAGTGCTAAGTGATAAACCCCTTCTTTCTTTGTCATGTGCGCATGTCCCGTTAGAAGTACCGAATCACCAATAACGTATCTAGAAACTTAAGAAACCCTGTCTTTTCATTATTTTCTACTCACCTCTAACTTGTATATGATCGGCAACAAACGAATATTCGATCTCGATGGATCCACGACGATCGATATCGGATTTAGATGGCTCACTTTCCGGACTATATTTCAAGCATCTTCGAACGGTTGCGACTAACGGAACCTCTGGAGTATTATTAGAGGTCGGCTTTAAAATTGAGTTTGAACTATGATTGTCCTCCGTCAAAGCTGATTTAGGACTTTCAAATTCCCACATATTGTTTTTTACATTATTTCCCGAACGATCGTCCAATGTATTTGAAAAAAAGACTGACGCGTTCGAAAACTCTTCGACGTGTTGTTTGTCCTCCAAAATTGAGTCCAAGTCTGTCTCGAGAGTTAATTTCTTTACATTAGGATTGATTGCTTCTATTCTAACAGTATCGTCATTTTCTATCTTTGTCGATACTTGCTCGGAAGTCGAATTAATCATTCTTTTCGGTCTTTTACCCTCGAAAACGCTCTTCTCTTTCCTCCGTTGCTGACGCTTTCTACGTATACCACGTTGTCTTTTCAAAGTGAACTCTCCGTTGAATTCGTTCTCGGTTGGCGACGTAAAAGACCAAGATATGGGCGAAGGATCCTCCAAAAGCTGACTCGCCGAGGATATTGAACCATCACTCTCGTCTTTGTTCTCGTCTTCTTCTCCGTGGCATTGAACGATCGTTTCATACGTATGATCCTCTTCTTCCTCTTCCTGTTCCTCTTCCTCTTCCTCTTCCTCCTCCGTAGTAATCGTACAACGAGTTTCGAGTATCTTGTTTCTTTCCTCGATGTCGTTGAAAAGAATCTCCGCAACGGTTTTCCCTCCGAAATTCGTTTCCTTTTCTCTGCAAAGGTAAAACATACAAAACGATATAACATCTTTTGTAATGAGAAATGTCATTAAATAGTTGCGACAATAGGAGCATATCTTACCTGTTTAAAACTTCCGTAACCGTATTATCCATATTTTCAAATTTAGGTAAATCTTGATCTAGAACTAAATTTGAGAGTTTCCCGGCAAGCGGAGTTTGCTTCAAAGGACTAGCGACTTCAACGACTTTCTTGTAATACGGAGTTCTGTTTCGAGGATTGATCTTTGAAATTTTAGACAGTTTCGATTGAAAATGTCCCTTTTTACGATTAGCTTCTTCCAATTTGATTCTAAAGTTATTATTTTGGGTATACGTTCGAGATTTATCTAATGGCACTGATTCAACTTCCATCACATCTTCGGGACTAGTGGCCATTGAAATCTGATGAAAAAAGTCCGATACGTGGGATTGTAAATTAACACGCGCTTCATTGACCATATTTTGCGGTAGCTCAGTGTTGCTTTGATCGATTGCAAACGATCGTTTGTTAGATCGATTTTTTAAGAACAAAGTTGGATCCGTTGGTAAAGTTAAAGCTGTCGAACGTTTCAATCCACTTGGGAAAAAGGTCAATGGTCCAATGTCCGCGTCAACTCGCGGGGTACCTTGATAAAAGTTCTCCAACTTGGGTGATCTTTCCAATCGTTGAGAGAGCGATTGCCGTTTGCCTGTCCTCACATTGGTTTTCGTAGCCTTAGAAAATAATCGAAAACAAAAGTTCGATTCGATTATTATACTCGAGGACTCTTTTTTTTCCTAGTTGTCGAGATAGATTAAACTTACTTGAAAATAGGTCCTCAAGTCACTGGCATGACTACGACATCGTCTACGACGAACTGGTGTAGGTTTGATCGAAGCATTTTGTAGGTTCGATGAATTTACGTGCCTGTTTAGAATACCGACGGCCGGTGGCGTATTCGACAGATCTCGAAAAGGCCTACGGGCTGGTTCGTTTAAAGTATGGGCTGAAGTGTGGGCCGAAGCATGGGGCGTCGAGCTACTCGCTGACAATGATCTCGAGACTGTCCACTTGAGCATCTTTAAAATAAAATATGGAATAACGCGTTCGATCATGAAACAATGGGTTACACCTGTCGCTAAGCGTAAAGGAAATAACATAACAGGTGACATAGTCTAACAACTGCAGATACCCAGAAACCGTTTGACGAATTAACATTTTTATTTATGAGTCTCGTAAAAGACAAAAATCAGGATGCAAATACGTTTCATTTATTCGTTCTTGGTCATTCTGGTCTGACCGTTGATTCGATTAAAAAAACATATGTATTTATAAGCATTCCATCGATGACTAAAATAATAGACAAAAAAATGATTACCGACATCAGGTTTTCACTTTTAACGGTTCCTCAGGGGGGTAAACGCGACGCATTGTTAGGTAAGTATAAAAATGCATTCATTTGCATACAAGCTGTTGCTATGCTGCGCACGCGTTTCTGTCCTTTAACACGCACTATTTCGTTCTCTTTCTCCCTCTCTGTACCACATTGAAACACATAAATACGGGAAAGTGAGTAGTGCCTTACTGAACACGAACGACTACGCGTAAAACGATGGAAAGCACCTGCCCCTAAGGTGAGACTCACGAGGACAGACATAGGGAGGACCATCTGGCTTTTGTAAACCTCCCTCCTATGAGGTGCAACTTCAATAAACGTCGATATAACTAAACTCAATTTTTTATCGAGATTCATTATTATTATTTATACTTATTACTTTATATATTTCTATGGGAAATATTAATATTTATTTTTCTAGCCATTTTCATGATTAAACTTGAAGGTGATGCGTCAAGTATCCGAATCTTTACCAATCTTATACCTACCTTCTCCGAAATGCGATATGTCTCGTCATTTTACACTACACCCATCCCCATGGATTAAGCACACAGGGCATGCAATTGAATTTTAAACATATTATAATTCCACCTATATAGTATGTAATATTCTCCCACGATAATAATTTATCCATAGATAATATATCGGTTTTATAACTGTCAGTTTTTATAAGATGTAAAATATTCGTAACTAGTTTGAAGGATGGAAAAAATAGAGAGCTTTGCTTGAGGAATAACAATATCGGGTCTTAATCAATTCTTTTCATCCACATACCCTCCTTCTTTTTTCTACTCCGTTTATCCAAGGAACAAAACAGGATTGACCTCGTGCCATCGTACCACGAATAATACGAAGGTACGAATGGAACGACGGTTGAAGACTTACCTTCTTAGCGATTTAAACCTTACTCACGAAAACGGTTGTAGGTACATGATAGGAGGAGGAAATAAAAATTCCAATCACATCATAGATAAATGTCTTGTCATATGTTGTCATATGCCTAATTAATTAATAAACTAACTGACCCTCCCTGTTTCAAAATACTTGGAATGGATGTTAAAGTACTACAAATTAGGGGAGAACAAAAAAATGATAAGGGAAAAAGCAGGTGGTGACAAGGACTTGTTTACTCAATCCTCTTTTTCACTCGCCAATAACTTGCAAACGCATACTCGCGATACAGCTTATATACACACCGCGAGTGGTCCCGCAAAATTTTCTCTCACTCTCTCACTTTTGATTTATATTGGATTGACCCTGTGCACCTTTGCTTGTATCGCCGTGGTCCCGCAGATGAGAGAGTGAGAGGGACCCAAGAGTTCAACTGACGACAATCAAAGGCACATTCATACGGAGGTTACTCGCTTTTTGACGACTTAAGAAGAAAGAAAGATAGACCGGGGGAAGTGGATGGGGGGAAAGAAAGAAAAGAAAAAATAGGAGGGAAACGCGTCGCAAAAAGACAGACCTTAGGCGCACGTTATTTGGAGCACACCTGCCCCCGTCTGTCTTTCTCTCTCTCCCCCTTTCTCTTTAATTCCCATTCCCAGCGTTTTTATAATACATGTCGTACGTAAAACGCATCACCGATAATCCTTGCTTTTCTTACAAACGTTTGACACAAAAGACGTTCTTCAAACTAACGAATCAATTCTATTTCAACACATTTGAACATACGTATATCCTGATAAGATTTTATTTGTTGTAACACATTTGAGAAGGAACTTCGGAAACTATAAAGAATGATAAACGAAAATAAATCAAAACTGATGAATCTTTCTAATGATATAATCTTATAGTAAAGAAGATGTATAAAACAATCATAGAAAAAAAAAATATGTTTTTAAAGTAAATGATAGATAAAAGGTAGTACTAACTTTATTTGACTGGATCCTTGACTAGCATAAATCCACGAATTGTATGAATTATCACTGTTATCGTATCACAAATCAAACTTAAGTACACACAATACGTTAAAAAACAAAATCGAACAACGACGGCGACGACGACGACGTCGATAACGACGACGACGACGACGACGACGACGACGACGACGACGACGACGATAACAACACGATCGCAACACAAATGTGGTTGCTACGACGGTTGGTTCCTTACTGATGTGGTGGGGTAAAGCTACGGGCCTTATGTAAGTAAGGTAAGGGTCCCTAGACAAGGTTTTCAAACTACCTTTCTCTCTGGCCCTCTTTCTTCCTTTCTTTCTTTTTATATCCCCACTCTAGAATCGCGACCTGACTAAGCCAACCATTCAAAATCTCTCCAGGTGAACGATCACACTCGAAGATACTTGTAATTACTTTTATATGAGAAATGATTGAGAAGATCGACAAATTTTCTTTGACAGTTTATCTTTTTGCTAAGAAATATCGAAAATTATTCAAACCCTGCACCATTTCTATAAACGTAGATATCAAATTTTGAACCATCACCGTTATCTTTCTCTTTCTTTCGCGTAGGCCCAAGACTATTTTCAAATATCAAAGATGCTTCTCCTTCTAACCGGTTTTTGTCCAGTTTGAACGTTAACCATTACAATCGCATGGTGTATCACAGATAAAAACTAAAAGGATCCTCTCCGAAATATACGTAGATAGTATGTTAGGACCTTGTTCAAAGAAACACGGCATTGAACCCGTTGTACCCACGGTATGAACCCCTGCGAATATCTGTTACGTGATTTTTTGGAAAGCTTCAAACACGACTTGGCCAGTCAGCAGGCCGAATATCTATTTATACGATTCGAATCGAGCGTGACGCGAAAGAGCGACAAAGTGAGCGACAGTAACATAATTGGTAACACTTAAGTAGTTGCAACAAACAAAATTGAAGTCTTACTAAACGACGACTGACCATATTACCCTACTATATTCTAACTCAATAAGTGGTCAACCCTAAACGTTATTCACGTATGGTGTAACATTTTGTTGCAAGGAATGAAGCATCGTAGTAGGAGTAACGGGTAACGTGCTTCATGCTCTGTTAAACCTACGCCTATCGTCAACTCTAGGTATAGATAGATAAAAGAAATAAATTAAAGCAAGAGTATAACGCAACATTCGAGGAGAGAAAAGAATATCGAAAAGGAGAAGTTTACGCGTTTACGAGGGGTGTCGCATGCGTAAAATTATCCGCACTTTATCAACCGGCGAAAAAAGGAATATAACAAGACAACATTTTGGGCGCTAATTGGCAGGAATGACGCATGGTCGTTATAATTGCTTGAACGACCCTAAACATCATGGGGCATGTACAATCTCGTGAAATCCGGCGATCGATCTAGTCTACAATTTGCGTCTTTCCGATGACAAAAGACAGTCAAATTTGGAGAATGAGAAAAGTTTAGTATGAGAAGGGGAGAGAGAAGGAGAGAGAAAGAGAGAGAGAGAGAAACAGGGATGTCGTCAGGCACGCCTAATAATTCTCCGAGGGCGACGCGCGACGTGTACGTGTCAGCGCGTCGCGACGCGCCCGTCTGTCTCCTCGAACCCAAAACACACACACCAAACTAAAACTCTCCCCCTTAGCTTTGAAAATTCTTCTTCTTCTTTTAAAAAAATCCATTATATTATCCGTCCGAAGATAAATAGATAACAACCATCCTATAAGCTTCCTATAAACATCTTATAAATATATTTGTCTGTTGTTCATCTTTTCTTATTCTAAATCCGCATACTGTTTAATAATGAAAAAGTCAAAATATTAGTACATAGCAAGTTTAAGAACGCCATAACGTCACGGCGACCGCTGTTATAAGTTTTCTATATTACGACGTTTACTAAAAAAAAAAAAAAAATAATAAATTTACTTAGCCGATGAGATCAGCACACTTCTCGTGCAACCCTCTTTTCGTTGGGTTCTTCGTTTTCCGATTTTGTCAATGATTTATCATTGATTTAATAATGAAATCTATTTAATGAATAATAAAAATGACATTAAAAGCCAAAAAAGAGGCTTAAGCGATTTATTAAACATACGCCTTCGCGGAAATAAATAGGTTCTCAGATCTGTCGTTAGACGCGCACAGATAGGCCTTTTCGCTTCTAAGATCTGAGTCTTACAGTGCACGCGAAAGACTATAAAACAAAATGTAAGTAGAAATGTTTGAAAACCAATGAGCGCCTAATGAAGGTGGAGCTTGCGAAGAAAATCTCCACCTACTCTTAAAATGCTCTATTTCTCCTCTTCTCGCATGTCTCACTGCGTCGCTTCTGATGACTACCAAGGGAGAGAGAGAAACAGAGAAAAAGATGCGAAGAGACAAGAGAGGAGAATCTTTCAGTATGTCTCAAGTCGGTTTAGTAAGTTGATATCCCGGTACCCCAAGTAATATCTTCTCTCTTTTGCGTTTTTTCAAGTTCTTGCTTTTCGGTGAAACGCGCAAAATAAATTCTTTCTTAAAAATGAAAATTTGATACAAGTTTTATGCATGTAAAACAGCAATTAACATAGTATAACATCTTGTGAATTCGATAGATTAAACAGCGCAAAAAAAGATTTATACGATCAGCATTTCGTTGATTATCACAATCAAGCTGTGTAATAGGTAATTCGTATAAAATTAAATGATACTCTACAAATCGATAATAGCAAAGTTTTGTTCCTTTCATTGGTATCATAGTCAAAAAGGTATCTATTTTCTAAGATATATGACGGACAAAATATCGTTATGCTTTGACGGTAACATTGTTCAATCGATGAAACCAAGTGAATTAACGTTAAGGTGACATAAAAAAGAAGAATAAAATAGAAAATATTTAAGAATCATTCAAACGAACTGAGAGTAAAATGATCGGCGCGAATATGGATCAGGATGGTAATAACATAATAGCGTCGCAATCAACGAATCCTCATGCGTCACAAGATTTCACTGTTTCACGACTATTATCAACGTCGACGATGCATTCGTTAGGTAAGAATAAGTAAATAATAAAATATCTTGAAATAATGCTAGATTGGCCTAAATTGATTCTTTTAAGAAGAAACTTAGTAACTACTTGATACCGACGATAGGCGTTCGATTCCATCGAAATTGTGTATTTCCGCCCATGCTGCTCGCGTTATACCGCTTTGATGAATACTCAAGCACAGTAGATTCATTCAAGAATAGCTGCCGCGTCTGTGCCTGCTCCTTTCCTTTTTTTTCTTTCTCTCTCTCTCTGTCTCTCTTTTCCTTCCGAGCGGCTACTTTATCATATGTGGCATCTTCCCGTATTCTTCCAGTATTCTTCCAGTATTTCCTATATTGAATAAAATCTCGAAGAAAAAATTGATCTATGACACACGCATATGTATACACACACACACAGAATGTCACACAGAAGGAACATCGACAAGCAGGAGACCAAGGAGAAGTAGGACAACCTTCTCGGCGCAACAGCTGGCCGCTTTGGAAAGAGTTTTCGAAAGGACACATTATCCCGATGCTTTTGTTCGCGAGGAACTTGCTACTAGAGTATCTTTATCGGAGGCAAGAGTTCAGGTAATTAAATCCCGTTAATTATTTGTCTATTATTTATTTTATAACACGTTTACTTATAGAAAAATAAGATCTATCAAATAAGACAGTAAAATCTTCCAATGTAGAAATAAGAGAACAGTTGCCAACTAAGAAAGTAACCAACTGTCTCTCTTGACACACGTGTTCTTGAGATTATATTCGAAGGATAGAAACATATGAGCGAAAATGAGCGAAAGAGAAAGAGATGGTAGCAGGAAGAGTAGGGAAAAGAAGAAGAAGGAGGGAAGCTACGGACAGCTAGGCAGAAAATCGAAGGAGACAGGTTGTCAAGGAAAGAAGCTATGATTAGCCTGCTGCGACCTAAGATCTAACAGCATCTGCGTACTTTAGCCTAGCGTACAGTCGTAGAGACGCGGTCCAGCACGTGTGTGCTTTGCAAACTCCTTCTCACCACCCTTCGTTCGCGCTTTCATTCCTGAGACTCTGATCGTCTGTCTGTCTTTCCGTCTGTGCTCTGTCTCTCTCCCTGTCTCTACGAATATGCGTACGCCTGCCAGGAGCCGTCACGCTGTCCCGTCTTTCCTAAGAACATGTCGCTAAGCCAACGTATGCGTTGTTTAGGGGAGACATTTGTGCGGCATGCCGCAAAGAGACACGACGAACCTCTTTTCACTATCACTGTCACTTTTTCTTTTCTTCCTTCGCCGTCAGCACAACTATTCTCTCTCTTATGCGCGCGCGAGCATCCGTCGTTCATGTTATTTCATTAATATTATGTAGAACTTTGCCTTTCGCAGGTATGGTTTCAAAATAGACGCGCCAAATTCCGGCGAAATGAAAGAAGCTCGGCTCTTAATCGCAACACGTGTACAAGCAGAGAACTAGAAACTACCACCTTACCACTTCGATCGATAAGAGTAAGCAACCACACGCACGGAAACAATACGGAAAACAATACGTTCCAAGCACAACAATTTCCGCAATATTCCTATAGCGAATATTGGAGATCGCCTCAACATTACACCGCCGTTCAAAGTAGTAATTGTCACGGATTTGTCAACGCCAATCTTGGAAATGTGACTGCTTTACCATCGTATCATCAATCAACAGAAATTCACAGTGCCGTCGAAGGAACGACTATAACTGGTCTAAGCGCATTGAGATTGAGATCACATCCTTATAGTGCTACCTATTCCGCCATGCACGCAAGCATGTGACTCTTTCTAAATAATGATAAAACGAAGAAACGCTACGATTCAAACCTAGATGCCTTCGATAATACTTTTTTATGGTGCTTTATATACTTTCTGTGCTTGCTTCCAAAAAATTTGAGCGTTTGCACAGAATTCGTTTGTTGAAACCAAAAATGCGCTTGCTCTCAACTGTAATCAACAAGGTTGAGTTAAAACTTATCTATTAAAAATAATTTAAGTTAATATATAATAATCAAGACTTTTACTTAGTTACTATGAGTTTTATAAACAGGGTATATATAATAGATATTTACACAGATGAATAAATAGATACATACGTATACGTTTATATATAACTATGACGAGTGCCAAGGATACGGTATACAGGGTATACATAACGATTCCTTAACAAGATTCACTGTATTGCATATATGCATATATACTTTATAAAATACGTGAAATAATGTGGTCCTAGCGTTGGAAGTCAATTAAATTACATATAAAACTTCCTCAATAATACTGTAAGAAATATCATTAATTACAATGAACATATATAATCGTTCAATTACGCACGATAAACAACTGTTTGTTTTTGTTACAAACTTTTTATCATTTTTAAATCGAATATGCCTTATGATAAAAATATAATACAAATGTTTAACAGATTTATCGTTAATACAATGACAGGTATGACTATAGTTATCATTGTAATTATCCGTCCAAACAATCGTATGTATACATATATATTTTAGCTTATATATATATACATATACACATCTTGGTAGCATAGATTGTCTTGGCTTACTAAACTGTTACCTGTACATTCTGAACTGCGTTACTCCAATCGACTTTAGAAGGAACTAAATAAAATGCTGGAGCTATTTTACTACCACATGGGCATTGACTACCAGCTATCCAACTAAAAGAACCCAACTTTGTATTACACTTTGGACACTTCAACTTTCCATCCACATTGTGCATTATATCTGGCATCCATGCCAAGGGCTCCACAAAATATATTTTAGTGCAAAGTTCTGTCATTTGATTTTCTTTTTTTACATTGACATGTTCCGCTTCTTCCTTTCCATCTTTTATCTGTTTGGGCATTCGCTTGGAACTAATATGTCGCCAAATTGGTCTTTGGTGTGTTGTATGTGGTAAAATATTACTCGCGCTGGCCACAATTCTTCGACACTTTTTACAACGATAAACAGTTGGTTCTGGACGTACAGTCGTTAATGCAGGATCTGGCTTAATTAAATCAATACAATTTTGAGGTAAAATTTTAACTTTCCTTACTTTATCTGCAGCTATTTGCAATCTATACATCTTAAATTGGATATTAGTATTGTCTATGCCAAAATCCATCTCTTCGTATAATTTCAGTTGAGCTTTAAAACCAGGATTTGGCCTTACAAAATGTCTTTTTTCTTTGACCATTTTTAATGCGTCTAAAAAAGATATTCTATGTTTCTTCATAATATATGCAATGACAACGCTAACAGATCTTGATACGCCAAAGTAACAATGTACCAATATTCTACCTTTTGATTCTAAAGCTTGATTGATAAATTCATAAGAATCTTCCAAATGAGTTAATAAATCTTCGCTTGGCATATCTGTTATTTGAATATATTTAATGATGAGATTAGGCAAACGTTCTTGAATCTTTCTTGGTAGAGGGCACGAATCAACCGTAAGTATGTGAGTCATATTTATTTCTTTCAACCATTCCACATCGGTAGCAGCTGTTAGATTCCCTAGAAATAAATTTGGTTCGACTTCATCAAAACTAGATGGACCGGCATCAAAATCCTCTCTGGTTAACTTGTTATCCTCATCTTGTGCCATCCTTGTCGCCATCCTGTAAAATTATTCAATAAAAAGAACATCAATCATGAATAATTATTTTAAAAAGTAAGAATTTTTAACCTTTAAAACAAACATGCTCAAGCAGAAGAAATTTACAATTTAAACTAACTTCTTGACATAAGAAATTTTACATTTCCATCTATAATATTTTATGGAAACAATAACGTAAAGTATAGATTTAAAAGTAGATTCACCTACAAATTTTGAACTATTCGATAATTATTATATCGATGATATATGAAAGAATATTCTTCGAATATAGAAACACAGCACAGAGAGACATACGCAAACACAATATACCGGTGATAACCTATTTGGCAACTTGGCTCATTTCACAAATATTCTATTATTTCTACTGATATTTATTGTTCGTTTATTGTTTCTTGTTAATCGTGAAATATAACATTTTGGAAAGATTATTTGAACGTCTTGTTTTAATGAAAGAATCTCCTTAATAAACACACTTTTCATCTCGAAATATTCTTCTTATAGTTGACAATAACGAAAGTATATTTTAAAATAGGTTTTTCAATTTCTTTCTTATCTAATTCTCACTTTGTAATGATTTCCGATGGCAGAGCCAAGTGAAATGCAACGTTCGTTTTCCGAAACAACTAACTTCTGCATCCCTTATCTAGTTAAGCCTATACCAATTTCATTGTCTCGGTCGGTAAAAGCGAACACGCCATTTTATTAAGCTAGTCGTAATTTTGAAACATTTCGTGTATATGTTACTGAACACGTGACAATAAAGGATAAAAAAGTGGTTCGTTCTTACCAGAAAGGCTTCGACGCTTTGACCTTTGCCATTTAAGCAAGAGTCTGTCGTAAAGAAGGATGGCGGATCTCTTGGATCTTCCCGGTGCTTCTTCTTTGCAGAAGATGTCGACTAGAACGTTTAGGCAGAAAGCTCAAGAATTTCTTTCTTCACGAAAATATGCCAACAATCTTGTCGACATAATAAGCCAGTGGGATGTAAGCTAATTCTCTCTCCCATTATATATTAATATATTAATAAATCCATATATCCATACATATATGTATATTTGCTATCTATTCGCTTATCCATTTAATCGATTTCATTATCGTTCCAAATCGAAATATGTACATTTTCCTTAAAGTGCATTTTGAACTTTATTAAAAACTTATGTATATTTTTTTCCCCATTAGGAATCTTCCTCCGCCTGTTTACTAACCATAGAAACAATATTCGTGGAAGTGCTTAAACGTGGTGATATGTTTATAGAACATACAATAACTCTTACTATCTCAGGTAAAAAAAAACTATAACTCAAGTTATACTTTAATTTAACAAATTAACTTTAATTGTTCTAACGAAAAATATTCTTTTAAAGAACCTAGTCCAGAATCTCGTTATATCAATTGGTTGCGTAATTGTTATGAAGAAGTATGGGAAAAAATTTTACTATCTCTGGAAAAATCTCGTCCAGCTATTCAATTGCAAGCTCTTACTACAGCATTAAAACTATTAGCCCAAGAAGGTAAAACTCCGTTGGAACCAACTGGCCATTTGGGATATTACTATCCTTTACATCGTCTCAAACCTATTCTTATGTCTTTACTTTCTCCTGAGAAAGACAATATTAATCTTATAAATAGATTTCAAGAGATGGCTACATATTTGGATGCGCTTTATTACACATGGAAGTGCCTTCCATCTCTAACACCAAAGAGACAGCCACGAGAAATATACATAAAGAATTTATTAGAACTTATAGATAAATTGCCACTGCCTAAAGATATGGAAGGTAGGTGTATTTTTAATAGTTATTATATATGATACATATATGTATATGTTATTTCATCCTCTAAAACTGGTTTTCTCTTTTCTTTCAGAAAATGAAGTCTGCGAAAGTAAAAAATTATTGTGCGGAATAAACGGAGGTAAGTTTATATAATAAATACTAATATCTCTACTATCTATAGAAGATAGATATTTATTATATTGTTAATAATCTAATTATCTTTATCAGCTGCTAATAACTTTACTTGGGATCAAGCTAGTGTAAGACGTTCGCTTAACAAAGTATGGGCGTGCGTTATGCATTGGGAATTAACACCTCAACTACACAAACAATTGTTAATAGTACTTTTGGAAAGAATTATGCCGCATCTTGAAAAGCCGTTATTATTAACGGACTTCCTTATGGATTCTTTAGATGCAGATGGTCCTATTGGATTACTTGCCTTACAAGGTGTATTCTTACTGGTTACAAAACACAATTTAGAATATCCAAATATTTTTACTAAACTTTACTCCATGTTTGAGCCAGAAATTTTTCACACTAAATATAAAGCACGATTATTTTACTTGTCTGATATTTTCCTCAGTTCGACGTAAGTAAAATTCAATTATGAAAAAATGATATTTGAAGAAAAACTAATGTCATATCTTAATATCTTATCATTGTACTTAACTATTTTTCAGTCACCTACCAGAAGCATTAGTTGCAGCATTTGCTAAACGACTCGCACGTTTAACATTAGTAGCACCACCCGAAGATATTCTTATTATTTTATTATTTATTGGCAATCTCCTTCTAAGACATCCAGGTTTAAAGAGACTTATAGACCACCCTGAAGGTGGAGAATTAATATCGGAGAAAGGTACAGGAACCGGTGATCCATTTCTTATGGAAGAACGAGATCCCTTGCAAAGTAATGCACTTCTTAGTAGCCTTTGGGAAATCAAAGCTCTTCAATGGCATATATTACCAAGTATTGCTACAGCCGCACATCTTATTCGAGAATCGCCTTCTTCTGTCGAATACGATATAGCATCTGCACTTCAATGTACTGGAGGACACATATTTGATAAAGAAATAAAAAATAAAGTGAAAGATATCATGTTAACGTTTGAACGTCCAGATTCTATGGCATTACCAAAAGGTGAGCGTCTATTACAGTACTGGCAACTTACATCTATACATTGATTAGCATTATTAAGACTAATAGTGGAGCATTTTTTAAATAATGCAATGCATACGTACGAGATGATCAAGATTCTCGTTCGAAATCATCGTATTAGTGTGATGCAGTGTGAATTATAAAGGATGAGTATTAGAAAAGGATTATGATCAAATAAGACATTCGTTCTCGTTTTTTACCTTCCTATCTGTGAATAAAAAAAAAAAATTGACGTGTATATGCATCAATAATTATTAACTTTATATCTGTTAAATATAATCTGTTAAAATCATATTCTTCAAACAGTTAATTTACAACGTGTCATATGCAATCATAATCTTCAGGTATAAATAATAGTGTATAAGAATTATTATTAATTATATACGACTATCGGGAATTAGAATAATCACTTTCGTCATACTAAGTCATTTGTACACATGAATATGAAATAATAAAAAGATATTTATTTTAATAGTA